TGAAGCCCGTGGTTCAAGAGCATGAGGGTAGGCAGACAGCTCTTACAATGGTGGCAGCGCCGGTCGACATCCCTCCCTTTAAATAAGGCAAAAATTTCGATGACTGGATCTTTTTTCCAAAGGCAGAGCTCGAACTCTACGATCCTGCACGGGGAATGCCATTGTTACTCCGCGCCTTGCCCTACGACTTACGTCGCGAAGCATTGGATGCGGGTATCACGCTTTCCTCGGATATAGAAGACTGCTGTGAGGTTCTTGTCAAATTGACATCCCTCCGGAAGGGAGAATTCTTGGATTTAGACTTTACCGCTAGTTAAAAAATGGAGACTTCGCGGGAACTCTCCAGTTATTAGCCAAACAGGCATCCAAGGATTGCTGTACCCTGTGCGTTGCCGCATGGATAGCAGCCCAGTTCAAAAGGGGTGCGTGTACAACCGCCTGGGCAGAGCAACTGGTGCACACGGAAACCAACGGATTTAGCAGTCTCACCAACGCGGCAGTCTCCAAACGCTCGGAGCTCCAATTCTCAACGGCGTTCAACACCCGGTTTCGCCCGTGGCCTCCTAGAAGACGGCCGACTACTGTCAGGCAAAGGCGCGTGCTCCGAAGCGGCCCCTCAGTGCAAAGTAAAACAGTTTTCTTTTTCATGTCTGAATCCCTCATGATCTCCTACTTTGTACTGGGCAAGATAGAAGGTCACACATGCTCTATTCTTTTGAACTCGAGGGCAGCCCTTCCGTTACTGAAACCACAAGCCTTTCCATGGTTTGCAGCAAGGCTAATATTACCCCACCGGCTACCTTACTGCGCTCTGCAGAAGGAAAAGAAATATCGGTATTAGAAGAAGCATCTCTCAGAGTCTCAATCGAGAAGGATAGCTGAGAGGTGAAGTTTGTGCTGTGTCCAGAACTTGCCAAGGACGTACTGCTGGGAGCCGAATTCTTACACCAGTCCTGAGGGACTATGGATTTCGATGCAGGCATGCTCACAACCTATCGAAGGTCTAAAAAGAAGCTCTCGATTCCTAAGCCCAAGAAAAATGCAGATGATATATGCTGATCCCTTTTCGTTGTCCTTGTCGTCCTCGGTAGCAATCTAAACGATCTCTTCGCCCAAATAAAACAAGTTACTGAGAATGAGAGGAAGGAACTGCACTCACTCCTGAGGAATTACCCACAAATGTTCTCCTAAGAAAGCGTGGAATTTGGACAAACAAACATAATCAAACACAGGATCGTAACCGGTAAGGCTGAACCGGTCTGGCAGCCGCCTAGACGCATACTACCACTTCTCCTAGACGAAGTACATCGGTTGATTGACGAGACGCTGCTGATAACTTTATCAGGCCACCCCAGTTACCTCGGACCTCCCCATCGCATTAGTTAAAAAGAGTGACGGCAGCCTACATCTATGCGTTGATTATAGGAGGCTAAATGCAGCAACAACGAAGGACCCTCTGCAAGAAGCGAAGTGGTTCTCGATATTAAATCTGAAGTCCGGCTACTGGCAGGCGCAGGTAGCGGTGAAGGATAGAGAAAAACCAGCCTTCATTGTGCCAAATGGACTATATGAGTTCCAAACGATGCCTTTTGGGCTTTGCAATGCGGCAGTCACCTTCCAGTGACTTATGCAGACGTAATTGAGTGACCTATTCCCGAAACACTGTATTATCTATCTGGACGAAATCCTCGTGTTCGGGAGAGACATCAAACAACATAACTCCAACCTCCGATTAGTACTGGATCGCCTTCGGGAAGCAGGTCTGACGCTGAATCTAAAGGCGTCTTCAGCCAAGCCCACAGTTTAGGAGATAAGTTCGGCGAGCAAGAGAGCCAAGCAACTATGGCAACTATGTCATGTGGACAAAGACGATAACGCGGCAGGTTCTAAACGCCTCGTAGTACCGGGTTCCTTGGTGCAGCCACCTCTGTTGAAATTGCATGAGTAACTTGGCTATGTGGGGGACAGGAAGATGCTTGACGTCACAAGGAAGAGGTATTTGTGGCCCTCGCTGACATCGGGTGTCTCCCATTTTTGTCGCTCATATGTCACATGTACCAGCTTGAAGAACTTAACTCGCACGGCGGTAGTCTTACTACAGCCGATGTCCACGGGCTTTCCAGGGGAGCGAGTAGGCATAGATATCATAGGCCCCCTTCTCACGACTCCGAGAGGGAACCGTTGTATTTTGGTGATGGTAGACGATTTCACCATGGTCGCAGAAGCCGAGCCACTACAGGCGCAGGATGCTGAGACAGTAACAACCTCATTTCCCAATTGCTGGATCTGCAAACATGGTGTGCCTGATTCCGCGCATAGCAATGAAGGGGAGAACTCTGAAAGTTGTCTCTTCAAAGAGCTGTGCAAAGCCTTCGGAATTCGTAAGACGAGTACGACGCCAGGTCACTCTCAAGACAATAGGAAAGTAGAGAATGAAATTCGTACTCTTGTCGACTTATTGGAGGCCTTTACCGAAGCGGTGCAGCCCAAGGATCTATAACTAGGACGAGCCCTCCTCGCCTACCGAGCCTCTTACCATTTAAGGTGCTCACGGGCCGTGAAATGAGAGTCCCTTCTGACATTTCGCTTCCTCGTAAGAAAACGTCAGTGGATAGCGCGCCTCAGTACGTCTTGCGACTAAGGGGAAATCTCAGGAAAGTGTTTGACCCCGCGCAGACAGCTGAAGAAAGCATACGCTACGCAAAAGAGGTCCTTCGATAGACAGAGCCGAACAAATGTCTTTAAAGAGGGCGATTTGGTGTAATTGTATAGACCAATTCCTCCGCCAGGAGCAAGGAACCCTACCGGATAATCGAAGTCCTGTCGCCCACGAATTATCTCATTCAGAATGCTGACATCGCTACTCGGCCTCGAACAGTACATCATAACAAGATTAGGCCATATATGGATGCTCACCCAGTAGGTTACGGAGTCGACGTCTATACGTTGGCAGATAAAGGGAAGCCGCCTGACGGATCTCTGCTGGTCACCATCGGGGACGGTGCTTAAAAGAGAAGGGGGGCTGTGTAATATATACTAGATTGTTTAAGTGGACTTTTATAGGAGATAGGCGGGAACCGAATTGGAATGTGATACCCATGCGCGAGGACCGTGAGGAATCCCTCTCTGGTGATAACTGCTGTTCGGATCATCTGTCCCCCCAATCCTCATTCTGCCCCTATTCAATGCCTAATAAACCTACTGCAACTAACCCCCTCTTAAAGTTCGTGATTCAAAGACATGAAGGTAGGCAGGCAGTTTAGGCATTCCTAATTTTATTTGGATTTAATTTTTGCGAATGTATATCATTTTATAATTTTTGTCAGCAGAGTAGAGGTTAGCTGACTGTGCTAAAGTGCTTTTACCAAATGCATGTTGATAACATCATAAAGCTGCTATTATTTGGCAATAAAATGACCTTTCATCGACTTTCTGTTGCAATAATGCCTTATTAGTGTTCAAGTCTTCGGACCGACGAATCAATGCTTCAGACACTTTATTGGGATTACAATGTCGAAAGATTTGCGATTTGGTGACAAAAAGCCTAACATTTGACCAAACACCAATGCAAGCAGAAGGTAAATAGACGGTTTATTTGGCATGGCCTGAAGGCCAGCCCACCAATCACAATCAAATTGGTTGTTGCCGTACTCGCCGCCGATATTGGCACTCAGAGGTGGTATTACAGTGGTCACCCCTTGCTACATACAGCCGCATTGAATGAAAGTTGTTTGTGTAAGTGAGTAGAGCTTGCGTAGGTTTTGGTATTCATCATGCTCTTTACTATGTGGACTGGTGTGCAAGCCAAGGCAAAACCAAAACTCATCACCTCTTCTCTGAATACAATTATTTGACCTTACCAAATTCCTCCTACCATCCAATGGGAAGCCTCGGGATTTTACAGCTTCGCTTGTTTTTGTGCCCCAAAATGATGCTTTTGCACTCGTTCTGTTAAAAGCAAAGTACATACATACGCCCTTCCACCATAGATAACATTAATACCCCTCTTCCCTTGTTCTCTTGCTCCCCACTCATGGTCCACGCATTGTTGACCTCTGCCTAGCATAATTCACTCACAGTCGCATGCCACGGTTTCCTTTTCCCTTGCGTATTAGCTCTTGCAAACCCCGCAAATAATTTCTTATTGATTTAGCAGCAGAGCAGCAGGACACCTCGTCTGCTACAAGAAATGTAAACAGAAAAGTTCACATCTGTTATGAACACAATGAATATTTGCATGCATACGACTGACAATAAGGTAAAAGATCACCATTTTTTAACCCCGCTTGCCGGTTCAAACATCCTCTCTTGAAGAATATTTTACCCTCTGCATAACAGTAGTTCCCATTGCCGGTGTGGCTAGAGATGCGGAGGAGGAGGAGGGGATGCGGAAACGGGTCACAGCAGCTGTCGTCCCTCCCGGACTAGACCGCATGATCCAAGTGCCGCTGACAAATCATCGATCCAGCTTATACGATGCCTCGGTGAGCTGTGACCTTGACCTTCCACGAATAGCAAGTAGGGTGATGCAGCTGCACAAATTACAGTATGCCCACGGATTTTCTCAAGCCGAATGGCTCCAGTCCGCGAAAATGGAGCAATGAGTCGGTGAAGAAATTGGTATACTGTTAATTTGAGAGGCGTTCGTTGCTACCTGTTCATCAGCATCACATCTTGACGTCGAAATTTTGTTTTGAGCTCGTTGCGGATGCTTGAGATATCGCAGTTGTAATTCCATTAGGCTGAATGTCCTTCAAACCGTAGCAGTGACCCCTCAACTTTTATTAATTTCGAGGTGCTGCTAAAATTTTTCCACTTCTGGGTCTTGTTCATTCTCTATTAATTTTATGCCATTCAGGTTTGAGTAGACCCAGAATTTGTTTGGCATTAACTGTGGAATGCTCAACCAACGCCCCTCAGTGAAACCCGAGATTTGTTATTTTATGGTGGTAACATGTTGCTTTTTGGGGTTTCCCAAAAGAGTACACTTATACTCTTGGAAGGAGAGGAAATTTATCTGCAAACTACATGCATTTCACCTTGTTGCAGTGGGCAGTGGCGGCCGGAGACTTCTGTGGACAGCGGAAGGCATAAGGCTCGACCAGAATGTGCTACTGACACGGGGATGAGGTCGAAGGTCGTGTCACCCAGCCGAAGCACTAAGGGCGCGACTCAAGTGCACGTGAAACCATCTGAGGGATTAAACGAGTGATTAACGCCTAGCAACGCATGTGTTAAACGCGACTACAACTAAGGGCGATGAAGACAGGAAACCTTGAATTTAGATTTCATGTTAAACCCGTTTGTTCTAACTGCATGATTGTCCATTCCTTATCGTGAAGTCAGTTGCTAAAATGATTTCCTGCAATATCAGGCTCTTGTTCAAAATTTTGCTTTGTTTCAAACACTCGGGTTTGCAAAGGCTGAGTAGAGTGGGACGAGGCAGAGATTATGCTCTCTTGGAGTAACATTGGCGCCTTCTCAGTCACGCGGCTTATTCCATCTTCCAACACGAAAAGTGCATTCAGCCCTACAGTTTTTATGAATCTCTGCCACAACCGATGTTTGTCTCCACTTTTTTTGGTAAATTGACTGCATTGGCGTTGGAGGCATGCCATGTTCTTTGCAAACACTTTAACGTCCATTTCAATACCAATAGAGCTTAAAATGACATTTTAAAAGTTAACAATGCCCCATGGGATGCAGCAAATCGCAGCAAAAAAGCGTTCAAGCCAGCTAAGCGGTGCGATCTTGCGTTGAGGCAGTAGCATTCGACTGTTTGAAAATTCGGGATATCCCATTACGATTTGGGACTTCTGGTGTGTTGGAAAACTTGCATCAGTCCTCCACAATGCTTACCTCGATTGCAAATGTTCTGCGCTTCATGCCGCACTCCTTATGGTGAATGTTAACACCACACGTCCCTTTTCCTCGAGATGCATCATTTAAGACAGCTTTGTAATGACTTAAGTTTTTAACGTAGAGGAACTGCCATTGTACCTTCGCATGGCAATTAAGTCGCCTCGTCATGCTGGTGGCTGCTTAGTCCTTCTGTATGTCTGGAAAAACATAATCAGCCGAATGATAGGTCCTTATTTGATTTCTGGAAAAGTGTCTATCCCGTTGCATTCAGCGCAGTGGAATGTTAACGCATTCCAAACAGCGACTCCCCTGAGTTCCACCTCAAAATGCTAAGCTTTGAGACGACGATAAAGGAGACACAGAATATAGATGAGGAACCGATGATGAGTCCCGGACAAAAGGATTTAAAATGATGGCGCTCACTCTAGTTCCGTGTTTTGCAGGAACGCAATTTAATTCTCAAGGTGCACCAATTGCGGCGATGCAACACCCAAAAAATCTATCGGGAAGTCCACCTGAAGGCGTCGATTAAGAGGGCGTACGGTGGATTCTAATACAGCTCCCTCTGCTGCCCATAGGGAAGTGTCAGGCTGCTGAAGGCTGAGACGACTGCCATTGAGGTTGTGAGATAGCGGGCTTCACTTCTTCCGAAAATTCAAAGCTCATTTCCCTGTATTCTCTTACATTTCTCTCCACAAGTGACGTCTGTTTTCTTAAATCAAAAGAGATGGGCTTTAAGAACCCTACAATTGGATTTGACTGAATTGCCGAACACCAAACATTGCTGACATTAAAGCACCAAAATTGTATTCCACTTGTTTCGACATGTTAAGCATTGGCACTTTGACTTACGACAAATTCAACCCCAAAAAGCGTCTGGCGTTTGCTGCAAACGGTAGGTTTGTTTGCGCCTTCATTGCATCCCCACGCCACCAGAGGAGCCGCTTGCTGCCCACAGACGCGATAAGACGTCTCAGACACCAGTGCACGCATGCAAGTTTAACGCCCCGCATGAAAGCGGTTTAAATTATTTGTAAAGTTAAGAAAGAAAACAACAATAGCACCCTCCTGCTTTCAGACGGTTTTGCAGATTCAAATGCTTTTCGCCTTGCCAGCATCACAAAAGAGGTGAAGGAGGATGAAATTATTCATTCGCCTTTATCGTGGAGTGGCAGAAGTATTGAAAACTGCGCAGAAGGCCGCCTTGCATGCTAAATTCAATTTGGCAAAAGAAGTGGCGATTGCAGTTGCGATTACGTTTTCTGCAACATTTTAACTGGCTCTCCGTCTCCACCCACATGTTGGAAGAGCATGGGGACTGCTCCGCCTCCAAAGGCTATGAAAGGCGATTCTGGGACAGCAAAAGCTGACAGCGTGACAAGGCATGACAAACCCGATTACTCACCACTGAAGTCCCCTGAGCAAATATGGAAATGAGGCAAGGAATTTGCAGCGCAAGCTTGCGCGAAAATTATGCCATGAAATTTTTACTGGTGAGCGAACCCTGCTTAGCTGAGGCTGCTCTCCAAGACAAATGAAAGTTGATTCCTAACAGACGATGAGGAGGAGTCGCACATCAAAATGTAGAGGTGAGAGACCAACTTGAAAAGGGCTAGATGTGGGGATGTAAATTGAAAGATGAATTGAATGAATTGATTGATGCCATACAAAAAAGTAAGAACAGCTGCATCAACTGAAAACGAATGGCTGCTAATGTTATGTTAGCATTTTGACGCCAACTCTTTATTCCTTCGGGTTCAATTTGTCCATGACATTCCCATAACCACCCATTTGCAGGTGCCTCTTCACTCTTCTACCATAAATTACAACTTTCCTAAAGGTTTATGCACGCTTTTTTCAAAATCTGTTTGAATGACTACTTTAATTAATTTCTCATCAATTTTGCCCATCCTTTTTGACACAACCGTGGCCTGTTTGCGAGGCGCCATGCACATAATGGGTGAGTGAATTCGGGCGTGGACGTCGTGAGGACTTGTTTGTGCGTGGATCTCCTGATCGGCAGTGCGCTTCAAAGCCTACAAACACACCGTTCGACCCTCGACATTCCGCAAGAATTGTCAACCGCCAAATAGACAATTGGGGACGGTACAGTGTTAGCACATTGTCCCAGTCAGTCTTGCAACCACGAAAGTCATTTCAACAAACGCCAACCACCAACTTCAAGACCCCATTTAAATCAAGTTAAGCATTCACAAAGTAATGCAGATGTCGGTTAAGTGGGTTCAGGAAATAAGGAAAGTTCCTTCGATAGAAATGGCAGAAGAACAAGCTTAAAACATTCAAATGATAAATTGAAATCCTCTCCTCCAGCTAACCAACAGACGGACTTAGGTACCAAAGTTATTTATCTGGGTAATAATGCAATGCAATAATGTGGTAGTCAATACTTTACAAACAGTACATTCTACTGAAACTGAAGAATATGCAAATTTACTCCAAATGGCGTGTTACGAGCTCGGCGGGTCTCCGCAAACAGCATTTTGTACTGCCGAATAAGCACAAAGGAGGATCGCATATTAGCACGTCATTCATAAGAGTAAAGTAAAGGTACCGTATACACATGAATGCGTGTGGGAAATATCTTACAAACACGAAGGAGAAGCAGAGGGCAATGAGAATGAGAAAGCCACTCCGTGCTTACAACTAAAAGAAGTCGAGCGTTCTTACTTGCGGCGAGAGATCGGCGACAATAGGGGAAAAAATTAAACTTCGTTACTGGCATGCGGAGTAAAGACGTTGTTGACAATGCAGCACTGTCGGGCATAGAGGGTTTCAAATTGGTCCAATCGCGTTGGAATGGACAGTTCCATTGCCGCCACCGGTGCTAGTTCCACCACCGAGTCGTTGGTCCATTCGACGTGTGCTGTCGCTGTACTCATCAGTGAACGATCCGTTCTCGTTAAATTGGCCTGAAATGCAAAAGAGAGGAAAAAGGTTGTAACCGTAAGCATCTCTTCTCCATGACCTTTCCTTATTAATGCTGGATGAAAAGATATTTCAAAGTCTACGACGGAAAAAAAGTAGTGTCGGTGAGCTAAATTTTTGTTATGCAGAAAGATTAGCGCATTCCAATACCACCAACAGTAGTGGCCATGAAACAGAGTCAAATACCCAAAAAAAAAGCCTCCATAATGATTTACGCTGTCAACTGACACTGAAGTGGACGTGCGAGGGCGGCCGCAGCAACCGGTGCCTGTTAAGTGAGCCATTTCGACACTCGTACGAATTTTGGAGAGGCAAGTGAGTCACCGCCGTAAGGTCGCAATAAAAACCAATCCATGCAACCAGTCAAACGAAGTAGACATTTGCAGTCGCAATTTGAGGAGGCAAGAGCAAAGGACCACCTTCATCCAACTTGATGTATTAACTCTTAAAAATGACTAATGCACAACATTTGAGGAGACGAATAAGAGGCAGAGCACATACAAACTGCTGTTAAAAGCACCAACAAAGAATGCCCATTTGGAAATTCCCACTTTCTAGGTCAGGACGAACGACATTTAACATCATATGCCACAGCCGAAAGTGCGTTGTAGGAGCTCCTGCTTAAAAATGTGCCGCTTTCTCGACTGGTCATCGTAATTGATGGTACGACAAGGAACACATGAAAACGTGCTATAGCAATTACATGTATGGGTGTTTGGACTTACCTACGAACTAGGACCAACTGCACGGTTTGCTGAATGCCAAATGTAAGAAGATAGAGGGTTAAACCGGTTAGTTGCTGTTAGGACATTGTTTAGCCCACAATTATGGAAAAAGAGCACTCTAGTCTGTTCTACGTCAAGTTAAAGTAATGACCAAAGCCGGAAAATTAGCAGCGAACACAAATTGTGGAAAGAAGTACGGGCAGGGATTTCTCATTAATTGCCCTCACCCTTTTCTCAACAGGCAGCCACATCATCGAGACATGCACCCTCACCCACTGCCGCGGGGCTGGAGATGGAGATTGTACTAAAAAGGCTCACCAAACCGGTGATTATAGACCAGCCAATGAGAGCAACGACCCGGCAACAGAACCACTGTGCCAACCAATGACACCAAAGATGGGGGAATGTGCGGCAAGGCATCATTCTTGACTAACAGTGGAAGGTTGTAGAAGGTGCGCATTTTGCATGACTTTAATCAGTTACGAGAACCACTTCCACTTTAACGCCTTGCGTCGAAAATGTTAGCAGTATCGTCACGGCTGTTAACAAAAATGGCAAAGGGCGTGCCAAACCATCCGCATCAGTGGTTCACTACATTACTTACGCATCAAACATAGTTGCACCACAATCTCCGGTCGAAGTGAACATTGGAAACGGGGAGAGAGAATGCTTCCTGAGCAGTTCGAAGTCCCTCAAATGGAGTTAATATGACCAGCAATACCCCACGCTATGAATTAGCCTAATCCACTGATACAAAGTAGATCTGCAGTGGCAAAACTATGTCAAGCAATGAAACTCGATTTTGTTGCCTCTTCATGAAAAGGGCTTCTCAGAGCGGAGTAGCCCGACCTGACTGCGGTTTTGGACACTTGACAGTGGTTCACCAGTCGAGCCCACCAATCCTAACTGAGGGAAGGAGGAATGCATGAACCTAATGGGCGAATAATTAGGGAGTGACTCATGGGAGTGATTTCTACTTTGCAAACGAAAACAACAAACACGAAAGGAAATACCACGCAATAGTGCTGGCAACAGAGGATAGAAAATCAAAAAATGGACACCAAAATGATATTCAATAAGCCTGCTAAATAATTTTGTGTTGATGATAATTGAGGTAATGAGGAGAACCTAGTCAACTGTCCTCTAAAAAGTCTAAAATATTAGCTGATTTAATTAGTAGCATCATTATTACCGTTGGCACTTGGCGATATGCATCGAAATAAACGGGCTACCCAATAGTGGATTTCAACAGCCGCCTACCGACCTTTCAAGGAGGATCAAGCGATGAACGGTGTTTACACCTCTCTTCCGTTTACTTAATGATGCAGCGATGACAGTCCCCGCGATACAGTAAAAGCACGGCCGTATAAAAGATGCGCAATTTGGTGAGAATGGATGCTAGCAAGCACAAACTTGTCCATGGACGAGCCGGGGAAGATAGGCATACGAACTGCCAGAGAATAATGTGGGAGTAAGGCAAGAATGCGTTCACCTCTCAAACAGAGCAAACGATTTCGGCTTGAGTAGAAGGAATGCTTTGAAGAAAGAAAACAGTAGAAATCGCATTTTGATGACTAAGGTGTAACAGCACATAAGCATTCCCAATGACACGGTAAAATAAACCAACGCCTTAGGTAGTCCCCAGCCTCACCCTCAATTGACTTTGGTAGAGCGATTCTACTCAAAACTAATGCAGTTCTACAAATTCCAATGACTGGAGCGGAGCCCTACAATCGGCACAACTCGCCTTAGTCCGCACATGCAATTCTGGGTAGTCCTGCAGCCAACCTTTGCAGGACAGGCTGAATTTTGAAGGGAATCCTGCAGCAGAAAGTGCTTGTCTCTTGGATCAGTCGTGATATTGTAGACATATTTTTCGCTCCCAGATTGATAGTCTCTCAGCTTAGCAAACGGACTTGGTCAAAAGAGCAAACACCTTGAGGGGCAGCCAAGAGTAGCTTGGATGTCTAAGACGGTAAAAGGTCAATCGGTATTCATTTCTTCAACGAAGACGTCGTGACTTTCCAAAGGAGGAGAGAAAAGCGACAGCAATATACCCCATCGAAAGAGCAATAACCGTAAATAAAATCGCCTGCTGAATCGTACGGCAATCAACCAACAACTGGTGTGTGCATGCCCTTTACTATAGTCCTATGGTAGTGGGGAAAAAATGCTGCACCGATCATCATTTTGTGCCATTTAAATGCACTGATTGCAGAGTTACTGTTTGATGACGAGGAAGGAAGAAATTACACGACAATTCTCTGGTGGCAGAATGTGATGAGCACTTAATCGCCAATGAGTGCTATCCGGTCGCGGCAAGGTGATACTTCCAAATGTAAGATATGAGTGTACCTCGGGATGGTTAAATCTAAAAGTTCTGTCAAAGATGGCTGCCTTAAAAGAGCCTGAAATAACTGAAATGGGGAGGAGGGTAACCTTACCAGGGTCTATTCCGCAGTAGTCCAATTCACCCTCATTTTCAGTGCCAACTACTTGAAACGTGCCATCAAGGGACTGATTACAACCTGGAATCGGGTGCTCATCTCTGAAACGAAAAAAAAAAACGTGAGTGAAGGAGGCATATGATGACAATTTCACTGATCTTCTGTGTTTGACACCTTCCATGAGAAAATTCGTTTCTACTTAATCGACAATAACTATCGAAACGTCCAAGGCTATTTAATAGCATGCCGGAAACTCAACTCCATCCAAACAAAGGCGAATACACAAAAGAAAGAAAATGTGCGATTTTGGAACATCCGCTATCGATGAGAACACCCTTCCTCAAATGCCCACACTGTCGTAGAGCTCAGAAAAGCGTGGGTTTGTGCAGCATGTCTAGTCCTGATGATGCGGTGAAATGAGCCAAAGATCAGAGGCAAGCAGGATTCACTAGCGGGAGAAGATTTTCCGCACTCATTTGAGACGCGCATAATGAGGAAGACCAATAGCAGTTGGCATCCCAGACAACTTACTTCTTTCCTCATTGCACTTTCCATGGACTGGTTATAAGTGTGGTCTTTTTTTTCTCAGAAAGCACTGCCATTAATCATGCCATCTGTCTCACCACTATTTCTGGAATGAATCGAGGTTGGAGGATGAAAAGAGAATACGAATGCATCCACACTTGAGGAATTCTAACAGTCATTAGAACAATTTGAATTGAAAGCGAAGTTCACCGGCTTTCTCCATGACTTGATCATGAACACGATCTATGAGGCAAGAATAGATGAGATTCTCGAAAAAGAAACTTCTAAACGGGCGGCACCGATGGTGATGACGTTAAGAGATGAAGCATAGGCGAACAATGCCAGATTTATTTACAATGAAGGTCGCAACTTTGTTTACTGTTGCAATCGGACAAACCATGACGCACTTGCAGCGCAGAGGTCTAAGCAAGTGAAAGTGATTGATACCAAAATGAGCCAAGTGATGCACGAAATACTGAACTGTTTCATGCTTTTCAAGTCATCAAATGCTGCAGTGACTCACCTTTCGTAGGCTTGAAAAGCATCGCGATCACGAAACTCCTTCTCCGGATCGTTTCCATGCATTCGCTCCTCCCTTTCAACTAAAAAGCGCAAAGCTTGTGCTGTAATATGGAGTCAGTCCCAGTGATGAAGATGTCTGTCATTAAAAATGAAGAATAACAGAGTGCCGACATATGAAAGCTGTGGTGACAGGACAACTTGGCGACTAAATTAATTTACACGATTTTGACTGGGAAGATTTAGTGAACCGCGTCAGAGGCTAGACAAAACGCTAGGATAATGTACAATCATGATAGTGAATGGACAAAATCGGCTGCCAGTCAGGAAACAAATCGGAATGTACCAGACACAGATTGTTTTGAGAAACACAAGCCTACAGGCACCTGGGATTCTTATTCTCCACAGCTGGAGAACTTCCAGAGTCAGTGAGTATGGAAGCGGAGTCAACATTTTAAATGACTACAACATCCACCGAATAAAATCGTATGTGACAACGATTAGTGTGTCGCAGTCTCACGAGGGATCAGTTGTGAAGTTACGGTCACAAGACGGCAACAATTGTGGAGTTAAAACTCATACCTGCTAGATGCAATGAGAGTTGACGTTGTACAATAAACAATTCAACAAATTTAGGGGGAAACTCACGTAAGTAAGTTTTGCCTTTATTCCGCATAACAATGCAGACGGCAAGGATTGCTACGATGAGCAGAATCAGCACCGCGATCACCACCGCCACAATCCACGAGATGCTTGCCACAGTAACTTAAGGGAAAGAGGAAGCGAGTCAGCCAAGGGGATGTTTGAAGCGATAGACGGGATGGGGCGTAATTGCACACCACGCGGTCACGTGAGCACAGAGGTCATGCGGGCACCTCAAGATAGACGGCTGGTGGTTGGCCTGGTCCAAGTAGACATTAACCAACAGAAATTTCTAGATGATTAAAAATTCAGACTGGGGCCCAAGATGCATTCCTTCTTAGGGTCTACATTACCAGAGCAAATGATAAGTCCATAGTTTATTTTTCGTCATCAACCAATCACTGGGGTGGAGTAACGGCCTCGATGCAGATGCTTTGTCATTTACCCACCATACTAGTCACAAATTAGCACCACTTCAATCAAGACAAGGATTTGGCAACCAGCGTGGCCATATGACTGACCATCACTCCACAGTATAGAGCGCGGAGGTGGTCGCACAAATGACCTCAGCGACAGACCGTCCGTGGGGCATGAGTCACACAGCGAGACCAAACAGGGAAGAGGGATGAGGGCACCCTTCGGACACAAGATTAATACCATCATTACTGCGCCACGAGGACTAGCAACCACAATTTTAAGAACCGTTGATTCTGCTGTCACAGTTATCCACAAGGCTAGCCACTGCAAATTCTTACTGCTTCAAGAAATAAACGTCTAGAAAGGGAGTTCAAGTCCACCCTTAAGCAAAGCTTCTCGGCGTGTTAAGGCGCTGCCCGAGCGATTAAATTTAGAGGACGATTGTAGTAATCAAATCGCGCTTCAATTCTTCAATACAATTGGGTGTGAGCAGCTCTTGCATTCAAACGGTGTAGGATAGAAAAACTAGCAACAGCAAGGAGAGAGGGAGAACACTCCTGATTCCTGCACGCATCAGGTGAAACAGGTCTAATAAAGTGCAAAACATAAAACCAGAAGGTGATCACAGAGTTCGTGCGTTTACTTAAACGCATGCCAGTACCACACGGGACTCTTCACCAAAAATCACAACAGCCCAGTGATGAAGACAAAATTGTGCTGTTTTGATACGAAAATAAGGGGAGAGAATGAGAGAAAGCACTCCAAAACCTACCAAGCTTTGATTTGGAAGGGTATTTGCGAATGTGCGCGGTGAGTATGGCGTGCAGAGCAGGATCGTTTTTCGTATCATAATAGGGTGTTTCATACATATAGCCCGCAAACAGATCCGTCTCTGGTCCAAATATTCGAAAACGACAACTCAAATCCACATTGGCAAAGAGTTCATCAAAGAGAGCGTTATCCTGTGCGATGTTCAGTACTACCTCTTGATTTGAGTGCTTTAAAAAAGTCAGACGATTGTCTCGCGGATCCAGACGCTCCAGATCTTGCCCATCCAACTCCCATGTCTTGACCACGCGTAGGCCGGTGTAGGGCGCCACTTCAATATCGCAGTAGAAACGATGGGTAGTGTGATTGAAACAGTCCTCCACGCAACTGTAATCCGACAACTGACGAATCACATCCGGTTTAGCTAATTTGAAAAAGAAAGAAATCAAAACTACAAACCTCAGCAAAGACATCATTATGGCATCCCCAGAAACCTACGCAAAACTCGAATGAGAGTGTTTGTGCGCACTGAACCGAGGGCGTTGGTCACGACCATGGTGACGATGTGGGAAGAGCCATAGGGAGAATTGGGAGCGAAGGCAAGATCACGGACTGTGTAACGAATAGAAGAATCAGAAGGGAACTCAATTTCCGGATTGAGATCACCAACGTAAGGAAACGACTCCTGAAGAAGACGTAATGACTCTCGGTACCTCGCCGATGATACCACGTCAATTTGAATGCCGTTGATAAGAAGGGACTAAGCAAGAACGCATAAGTTAGCAACTACAAAGCCAACACGCTGGGTTTTGAGCTGAAAAGCTTACTCGGGAGGTAAGCCCACCACTGAAGTCGGCAATAACTTGGGCCTGATTCCCTTGTGGAATGATAATATGGCGCGGCGGAGCCTCCTTGATGGTAGGTGGCTGTTCCACAATCACCTCATACTTAAAAAGCAGTTGTTCATGGGGACTCTTGAGGGAGAGGACATACAACCCTACAGTGTAATGAGTGGTACTCGTTAAAAGATGTGAAAAAGCCCGAGTAGGAGCAACGGAATTAAAACTAACCAGCATAGGTAGGCTTAATGTCCTGAGGGAAGACCAAGGAATGACGATTGGACGTAAATTGAATGGGGAGGGAACTGTCGTCCTTAGTCCACATCGCAGTAACGGTTTTGGGATTAGCAGTGTAAAATGCATTCAAAGTGATGGTATCACGAGCATGCTAAAACATGAAGTCAGGTAGAAGAGGTGATTTAACAGAAGCGAGAAGCAATTGAAATGATTCGCCGTACCCATCCACTGCGCAATGCTACGCGGTTGTCCTGCGGTGATCGTGGAATGATCTGATTAGGATAGGTACCAGGAATGTACGTGAAGGGGACAGCCTTCCCGTCGTTGTCTTGGAAGTAGGCAGAAAAGATTTTATTGCGTACAATCGAGGTTGTACAGAGAATACCAATAGGGCGCCAGTCCTTCACCAAATCGTGAATTATAAGAGTACCTAGCCAAAGACCACAAGACCATAAAATGGTGTGACGTTGACAGGTAAAAGTATGACAATTAGATGCATACCATTTGGAAGAACAGTGTGCTCAAAATACCCAGCAATGGATCGAGAGCGGTCATAGCACATCCGAATATCTAACTGACTGTCGGCCTCGGCTTCACAGGCGACCCAATCGTAAGGGACAGGAAACGTTTGTTTTGCCCAGTTAGGCAATTCCACGTGGTCCATGTAACCACCACACTCAAGCGACATAGGAAAGCTGCTACCAACAATGGGTCCACGAAGGATAGGCTCAAGCGATTGTCTTTTGATGAAAGCTTGAGGTAAAATAGGGAAGATGGACCAATCTTTACTGCGACGAAAGGTGTAGCAGAAAAACACCTAACAGTCAAAAGCAAGATGCAGCAAAACACAAGTGCCGTAATATGTAGACAAAGAGAGACTTTACCTGTCGTATAGGAATCCATATCTTGAACCTCGATGGCGTTCGACTGAATGACGCCGTTACTGTTGCTAAGACGACAAAAGTAGGTAGCATCTAGCGGGAACCGATCTCGATCCCAATTCGATGTAAAAATATAGCCTTAAAATGCTAAATAAGACCGTCAACAACAAAAATACCATTATAGATATCACCCGTGGATTTAAATTTGAATTTGTCGGACAGCAGGTACGAGCTTCCAAGAGCATTGTCACAGTTTAATTTCCTAGAAGCTGGTGTCTACGAAAATCAGAAAACACAAAGCCATACCTCGAAGCACAGTTGTGCGCTGGTAATAGGGGAATCCTTCGATAGCTTATCGACGACGCAGTGAAATTCTAACTTGGGTGGAACGTTATTAATAAGCTCCACAATTTGAATTATCACTCGTGGAAATACTCCATCAACAATTATAGGCTCGTTTGTGCCAAAATATGAAAAAGAACCATTCCTATGAGTAGCGGACTCAACCTTGCGAAACTTTAAAAACGGGGTGCCACTCTCTAGGAAAACATTAATCCTGGACGCAACGATTACCTCCATGTGAGAACTTGCACAGAAATAAGGCGAACAAAGCTAGCAAAAGCATTTTGACGATTATATTCATATCCCCACAGACCGCAGCAACGCACGAGCAGCAACAAGCTTTCGTCTTTGTGGCCACAATGGTATACAACTGTGATGATCGAATTAAACAAACCAGGGTTGCACAGACAAAAAGTTCCAAAATCGCTTTTTGAGCTAAAATTCTAAGATCTAATTTTTAATGTTTTTGTTCTGCTTACAAATATTTGCTAATGTTTACTGGACAATTATTTAGAACTTGATTTGTAACAATTCAACTACAGATATAATAGGCGTTGATACGGGTCAAAAACTAAAATTTATAACTAAAATTTATAAAATTTATAATTTATAAGTACCGATGCGATACTTCACTGCGTACGGTTTCACAATTGCTTTGCTAGGGCCCATTTAAATATTACTGAGCGGTCTTTTAGTCCTCCTTGGAACCAAACTTGTAGTTACCCCTAAGGTTTTAAGACCATTCTTCTATCTTAACGGGAAAGACGAAGTTTTGCGGGCAAGCAGCGGTTATGCGCCCTGGAGGATGACCTTAGCTATGCGACTGCAATTTCAATTCCTCCGGCACAAGCTTACTCCTGACTCGAACTCTGACTTGTGCATCTGAAACCGCGTACACTTCAGATGACTCATTTCCTCTACGTTCAGTTGGGTTGGCGACCACACGACCCAATCTATTATGGCTGGCGCAGCACCCTCAAAGAGAGTGAAAACCCGTAATAAAAACACCTTTATCTGCCACACACACGCGAATACACATTATCAACGTCGGTAGGATGTGAACAACATATAGGGTCTGTGATGAATGCAGGAGGGCAGGTGAGGCAGAAGGCCGTCCATTTGTACAAAACAACAGTGACGACAGTTAGTTGGGTCCGCGGCGGGCAGGACGTGAATTCGTGGTGGAAGGAGAGGAGTGATGCGAGGCACCGCCATCCCCATTATTGGTTTCCCCCTCCAACTCCAAAAATTTGTCGTGACACCATCGCGCCTCCTCCACCTCCTCACGACCACCATGGCGCATTGACCTGTAGCCCCAGCGCCGTCCACTCTCAACCATTCGGTCCCCTCTTTCCTCATCTGAGCGTCGTGTCCAGCGTCGAGTCCCTCCTTGATAGCCTAAAGGCGTAAACAGTCGATTATCGCCCAAACACATATTAGCCGCCAAACTGTAGAACCAAAGTCAATATTTTCAAGAAGGGATAAACAACCATAAAGAAATGAGACGGTTTCAGAGTCCGAGCATAGCCTATAGTATTTCGAAGCGACCAGGTTCTCGAGTGGTCGAGTGAGTCGAAGTGCGCATCACAGAAAGGAACAGAGGCAAAGAGGACAAAACCCTGTAATTTCTTGGATGAGATTTGACAACGCCCCAGTCGTGAAACCAGCAACAAATTACTCAGACACATCTTTGCAATCTCAAAATACGAGTACAAAGAAGGGAAAAGTAGGGCAGGATCGACAAATCCGCAGGTTTCACGATCTTCACTCGCCAACAAATTGGGTTACCAATACTTCACACGAAAGTGAACTTCGAAAGCGCAGAACGCTTCAACTACTTATTTGATCATCTACTGTGGTACATTTAAGGGCACAAAAAGCCATAATGAGGGAACCACGAGCACCTTGAGATCACACCTTGAAGATCAGACGTTCGCCTCATTCGCTATCCATCATCACCGTAAGTACGGCACGGATAGGATTGAAGCGAGTAACGTCATGAAATTTCGCATATGTTGGGATTTCATGTGGCAATTTATGAGTGCAATAGGTATAGCATTCCTAGTTGCTGTAGAATGTCAGTTATCGGTTGCTGCCTTAATGAACAAGTTCGGTAAGAAGCCTCATGAGTGGAATGAGGAGGAAGGAAAGCGACAAAGGATAAGCGGTGCAGATTTTGCAATGACGAATCGAGGTATTTAAAGTCAAAATTAGACATTACAAGAAAGTGAGGCGGAAAAGGGGGTAGCACTAGCGAACCTGTGTGTCCCAGCTACTACAGATTGACGAAGAGGGAACTGAGCATGCACATATTGGGATGTCTTACAGAAATCTGCGGTAAAAAATTCGGAATATAAAATGAATCGAATGACTGGGAAGAATTTAGCCCTAAGTGTGCAGTGACTTGATCATTCATAGTCTCGAATGTCGACCCAAAAAGCCTCTAAGATGAGGGACCACATTACATACGTGTGACAACAATATAGACGAATTGGAAAGAGAAACAGACCTTCGGTTTCGCGATACTCGTAATCTAACCGCCTTTGACGCCAGTTATCTCGAGAGTAGGGCTCATTGAAGTCCCTTCTACGCCAGCCGTATGGACGTCCATCGCGGTCGTCGTGCTGAAGAAAAAATAAATCCGCATGTTTCCAGCACTACTGTGTTGATTACATAGAGACTTCAGTCTGTGTGATAGAATCATCGAGCTAATCAAACCCATGAATAGAGCCACCTTCGAACTTAGTTCAACAATGAAGGGGATGAGGACCAATTTATCGTGAGATTGGTTCAATAGTCTACGGCAAGGAATTTGCTACCACAATAACTCTAGAAGGGCAAAATGGCATCCGGTACACCCATTACCTCCGAAAACGCAAAAGATTAGCACCTTGAAGCAAGAATGAGACGGTTTATATCGTGAACTCATCCCTCAAATACCTGCAGGAATGTCCTGCATTTGCACAAATGCCAGTAAATGACAAGAATTACGAACCCACTCAAATGGAGGAGAGTTGATAATAACGGGGGAAATGGTGAAAATGACTGCTCCTACAAAAATCAACCAGTTTTGATCTGTAAACAAATAACGCCCATCACCTTCTGTATCGTAGGATCGTTACATTTTTTAGAACTGGCGGAGACAGTTTCCCTGAGTTCCATAAACAGAGATACAATACGGTGAACGATACTAAATGCACCTACATCCACGAATTTGAACTAGAGGAATCGGTATCAATGGTAAATTTGCTATTCAAAAATTTCATCATGTGTGGTGTTGGCAAACGTTGAACTTCATTCTGGTCGTTACTCCAGCAACAAACGACAATTAACATCTGAATAATTCCATTGGTAGTAAAAGAGTAAGAGCAAAAGACCGTTAATTCGAGCAAAAAAGTAACATTAAACTTCAAGACTTACCATGAAATAGGCAGACCCTTTCGGTACATCCAGGGGGTTCGAGGTGCCTCGAAAAGGCAAGATATGATACAAGGGCCCGAAAAAACGCGACTGGTCCATAAAAATACACTTACTCAAGTGACTAAATGCGCTACCCCGCCTCAGACGATCAGACCTATCCAAATTGTTGGCATTACCGTTACTGTAGGTGTTCACCTCTCCGTACGTGTTGGCCGGCGGATGAGAACTAGAAACCAACAGAGACAAGAAATGTAATGCCCTCTCCTCGAGTAATTGCCTCCTCCAGGATCAGTAAACCTACCCCATACGATTGGCCGTGATAGCAGCTAACGAAGCAGCTGCTCGTTCGGTGACCTTCTCCAAATCTTCCGGTTTATTAAAAATGGGTATCTGCAAAGTGGACGACAAACACCACATTTAAGAGGACAAAAGAGACTGATCCAAAGTGCGTCCCAGAATCAGATTTCTTAAATCAAAATGATCGAACATGAAGTCTAGACATAGAATTCCCTTTAAGGAAAGGATCCCACCTCTTCGCGGTCAAAGACGGGTTTAGTCCCCGCATTTGGAGGGTGAGGAAAGACAAAGTTCACCCCTAAATCCACATTAAACGATATTTCTGCCGTCGGATCAGCAACTTCTGCAATCAAAAAAAAACACGCATCAAGGAAGACTCGATAGAGAAGTAGGGGTGTCACAACTAAACACAAACCCGGTGGAAGATTGCGTTCAATCACAACAGATAACTCCTTTGCTTCACGCATAAGTGTGGGAAGAGGCAATTTGAGACGGTTGGAGAGGAGAAGGTAGGCTAGACCCCCAGGCACACCATACTCGCGCCGGCGCTGTCGCAGAGTGGATTCCACTAAACCCTCAAAGCGTTCATTCAGTGGCGGTATCCGACCAGCAAGAGGACTGCCTCCACCCGATCCCATTGTTTTTGTCGCTGTAGATGGTGGCAACAGTCGGACAGGCCGCTGAGAAAGTGACGCCAGACCACCAGCACACTTCAAAGGGCTATGACTGTTGCGCCGGGGAAAGGTGGAGAGGTAAGGCGCTCCGCGGCCCCCACGATAGGGACGATGGGGCGAGAACCGACGCATACGTCCGTACTGCCTGCGGCGGGGTGGTCGATAGGACGGTGTTCTACTAAACTCAGATAAAAGAACTGTTATTTAAAAGCAAGAGTACCCTGCCTTTGAATGCAAAAGTGTAGGATGATGCTAACCTCGATCTACGACGATGACGGAAACGATTCGACCGTGATCGACTTCTAGTTCGACTTTGATTTCTTGAACTGAAACGAGTGAAAATACAAACAAAGCAAGATAACAAAAATGAAATGAAAGGGCGGTGTACTAACCGAGAATGGCGATGACGGCTACGGCGGTAGTAGCGATCAGAAGAATGGGAAGAGGAGCGAGACATGTCGCGTCTAAGTGACCTCATGGACCTAGAAGACCTAGATGAAGTGGATCTACGGCGTACTCGGCCGGAAGCAGAAACAACGCCTTTTGAGGGCTCAGGAACGTCCGATTGGGAGGGTGCATTCTGAGCTGGAACCGAGGGCACAGAGGCCGCTGGAATTGATGAGGGGGGTTCCACTGCAGCAGAGGCTAGAACTTCATCCATCTTGGTAGAAAAATAAATCCCAACACTTTAGGTGCTTCAATTTATACAAACATTTTGATGGGCTGTAGAGCAAGGTTAAAAACAGCGCGACGGTATCAGCAATGAAGGCGGTGTTCGGGAGCCACGGCATCAGACAGACGGAGGCGAACGAGAAGCAAAAAACTATAAACGCATATTTTTATTAAACAAAATAACAAAAAATTGAGCAACTCTTGAAAAGTAAAGGATTAATTCAGTGAAACGATCTTTTCGACGAAGAGAGGAGGGAAATTAGGATGTGTACAGCAAGCGAAGAAAGGAATGAATGAATTTAAAACAAGGACATATGAAAAATATGTTTAGTAGGGTTAGTGATGGTGATTCTGGCGGGAACTTCGAGAGCATCTGTGAGCACAAAATTGGGTAGAATGCGAGGGCTCATCGGTAAAGGAGGTGCTGACATGGGAATCTGCACGTATTGACGAACGATAAGAGTGCTTGCCATTGCTATGTCCTGACGATAATGCCACAGAGCACCTAACTCTTGGCTTGTAAATGAAATCACTGGGAGTAACAACGCCTGAGACAGGAGATTTTTCCTCAGGAGGGACTACGGAAGCATTTGTGACTGTACTTCCAACTTTGCTGGTGGTAATGGGTGCACTTTCAACCATGCAATCACGTTCCGAAACTGGGCATAGCGAAGTAGAGGGATTCCCAGAATCCATTCCATCCACCAGTTCCGGTTTTGAGTCGCGCTTAGTTGGACATACATCTTTGGCCACACATGGGGAGGACCCTTCAGCAGCAAGTGTACTTCTTACGACACACTTTTTTTTACATATTTTCTTATCCTTAAAGTAGACAAGCGAAAGCAAAAGTTTAATGGACAAAGCGAATTTGGCATAACTCAGTGGGTAGTAAAAACTGCGGAACTTTGCGTAGAGAAGGGGAGGCACATACGTCTTTATAATTTCGAAGCCAACCACCCCCGGCTGGGAAATAAAAACTCCGTAGTGAAGGAGAAGTGGAACGATTGTAAACCTTATCCATCATTGCAGTACCTGCTTGTATAATTTCTAAACACGAGCATTATCATCCCCAATCTTTTACCATCACGCCTCGCAGTGCAGTCAGAATCTCTACGACGTAAAGATAAATCAGATGCAGAAGGAGACACAGCACTCAGAGGACAGACAGGAGCGTCCCGCGTCCGAGCGTGTTCGCCACAGAGTACGCGCTCTGGTGATGAGGACGAATCAGTATCGTCAGGCCAATCGAACGGTTGATGCGACAGCTGAGTTAAACGTTTGTGAAGGCGAAAAGATAAGTTTTCTTGGTATATATGCTGAGCACATTCAAATGGCTTATAAGAATGTCCATAAACGGACCTCCTCCTCATGGAGCTGAGAAAGAAGACAAATACACGGGCTAAACTTGCACGGGTCCGTGTAAATAAATGACCTATTAGCGAAGCCCATAGTGTGACAACGAATCAGAAATCTAACATCTCGTGTTCAAAACTAAGTTAAGAGTTAACTATCAAAAATTGTTTGGATAAATTTTATTACATTAGACAGACTACTACAGAATAATTGTTAGTTGTCTCGACAGCAATACGGCCCCTGGAAACATGCTAATACCTCATTTTTTCTTGCTATAACTATGTACTTAATCAGTAATTCTGCTTCCAGAGACCTATAAAGAAGTCCAGAGACCCGACTTGTCTTATCATGGCTTTTTCAACCGTATGCTGTAAATGTCCCACAAGGTAAAAGTAAGTGCAGCTGGATAAATGAATTCCGAAGACGACAGCACGAATGGGTACGGACATAGCTCGAAGAACATTCCACACGTACGAGGTCCAGACAAATCCTAAAATGCTTGCCAAACGTCACGCGGTCACGTTGACAAAGTATTACAATGAATAATAAAGCAACCGTCAGATACTAGGCGGTCACCATACAACGTATTACAATTACATTGCCCGCTATTCATGCGGGCTTTGGCACAAACAAATGCTTTTTCAATGTATAAATGCATCCTGTACATCGATGGGTAATTCGATACGTTGGGTGTGGAACGAACTTAGACGTTTATATCTGGATCTTTTTCAGCTTGAAATTCCTCTCTCTTTACCATCATGCAGAAAAAAATGGTCTTGCTGCAGCGTCCCGAGACATCCCATCGGGTGAAAGAAGGCAGTAAGTAAAGCTAATTACCTGTATTCCAAAAAGATTAAAGCAACTAGGGCCGGCCGACACGTACAAGGGTTAGACAAATCTTAAAGTGGCCGCTAAATGTCAAATGGCCACATACTTAAAGCATTGCACTTGCATTCAACACAATCTTGAGGAGTTTGTTGAGATAGAAGCTTAGGGAGTCACACATTAGCTATGCTGATAAACTCGTTGAAATTCTTTTATAGGAGTTAAGTCGCTGATTTAGTTGCAGCTGTAATTTATGCTAGTATGGTTAAGTTTGCCTTGATTGGGGAACTGTGAAGTAAATTCGAACACAAGAAACGTAAGGATTCTTTCTTCAGGTGATACATGCTTTTCGGTCCATCTATACTTCTCATTTCCTTTCCTTCTGTATCAATTCCAAACACAACTACTGCAACTAATCCTCTCTTAAAGTCCGAGATTCTGGGACATGAAAATAGGCGGTCAGGCACTATAGTAACACTAAAGGATTATTATAAAGTAGAAGAAGGCAGCAAGTGGAGCTGAATATATTAACTGCAGGCAGAACAAAGGGGCTACACCTGAGCTTGGCTCGAAGGCCGACTTACACTTACGGACCCTGGACGAGTCGTAAAGTAACCATCGGACATCAGATAATCAAGATATAGCCATAGTCTTGCAGTAAAAACGAAGTTTTTATGGTACAAGGGTAAAGTACTTTGCTTCTGTAACAGTCTGCGTAGGCAGCAGCCACTTTGGCGGCCATCCTTCTTTTGCTCTGCTAGCTGTCCCTAAGCCAGACCTCAGTCTTGTATGAATACGTTCTGCCTAAATTTGAATATTCTGCCATGTCCAATTCTTTATTTTACCAGATTAGAAGTTTCGGGACGCTAAAATGGAACCAACGACAAGCGTCTAGCTCTACTACAAAACCGAGGTGTCTGTTGTAATTGCGACTGCAAACACATGGTTGTAAATTTCGTCCTTGATGGGTTGGGCTAAACTCTGGACCGCGTTGGCCGTGTAAATCCACATATGTGTTCTACCAACTCTGCGTATGCTCTTGTTCCAATCAAACCTCTGAACACTTCATCACGTATGTCAAACCACAACAAATGATAATTTATCGACTTTACGGCTTAAAAGCTCTATTAATTCTCAAAATCAACTTAGAAATTGAATGAGATAACCAGATAACCAGTATATGACATTTGACCCATCTTACCTTAAAAAATTTAATTGCATCCCAAGACATCAGCCTCGATGGTAAGTCACAATGATTACTATGCTGTTGAAACGTCTTTGGAAACATAATTCTTGTTAGAAAAATATGAAATTTTGTCTATGTATCTATTAGTGCACTGCTGCCTGCCCTAATGTTTATTGGTTAACAGAATCAATTTTACCCCACCGTCCATTAATCGCCTTTCAGCTTACAAAGATGCATGCCGGGAGTGAGGAGGTGAAGCGCAGTCGGCCTCACTTAAAGATATGGCCGAAAATAAAGAAATCGAGTGTTGTTGATCAGAATGTTTCTGATCTTTTATGCCGTCGTTTGAACCTCAATGATGTACGTGGGTGCGATTTCTCATTGCTGTTGTTAGTTGCATTACAACTAGTCTCATTGGAAGTTAGAACAGGTGTAGATAAAACCTCTGTCTTATTTACTTAAGTGGGTAGATGGTCCAACCTTTTGGCTTTTCCTTCTTACTTACCCCGCTACCATTTCTCGGTAGCCATCGCTCCTTTGACATATGGCTTTGCTAGTTATAGGATTTTCATACGCTAATGTTTTGGCAATCAGTAGTAAAAATAAATGGTTATTGTTTATCTTTCCTTATTAGATTGATGACTCGACAGTTGAGGCATTCGCCCAGCTACCACTGTCTAAACCAACTTTAAAAGGTCTCAAAGCTGCCTCGTTTATTAAACCAACTGCAGTTCAGAGGAAGTCTCTTAAACACGCACTTCTAGGCAGGGATGTCATTGTTGAGGCTAAGACTGGTAGTGGCAAGACTCTGGCATTTGTCATCCCCGTTCTGGAGTACATCTACACAGAGAAAATAAGTGCTTTTGATGGCCCTATTGCCGTCATTCTCACTCCTACACGGGAACTTGCCAAGCAAATATTTTCTGTCTTTCACCGCGTTGGGAAATTCCACGCCTTTACGATGCTTGATATCATGGGAGGAAAGACTCGCGTAAGTTGCTCAATAGCTGTTCTTCAAGGGTATTCGTCGGAGGAGGTGTGGGTAGTGCTGTTATGGATTGGCTTTGTTTTAGCATGCACGATGTTTGATAGACTGGTAATGAATTGTACCAGCGCCGCACCATGGCACTATTGTAGCAAATGTAGCTATGTTTAGTTGTTGGAGCTCACGGGCAGGGGCGGTGCTTGATTCGGATGCTTAAATGTTTTATTTGTAGTTGGTTCGTCTTGACTGAACAGTCCACTAAAGCAAGCGTCTTTCGTCCAGTATTTGTTTTGCATAAGATCATCCATCTTACAGCATCATGAGGAAACATTTCAACTTTTTCACTTCGGTTGTATTCCACTGTTAAATATTTTGCGAAACTTGAGATTGTGTTATGTATCAGAAGCTGATTTCAGTGGGTTGTTCTGCGGTGAATTCCACCTTTTTTGACGATTTGCGGTATTTTTTCTATGGTGCTCAAGCACCGTATTTGTTGTTCCCTCGCTACAGCTCTTTAAGGGCGCGGATTTGTTACTGAGGAACTAGTGATGTGGGGAGCGATTAAGACCTTTTTAATTAGCCTAAAAATGCGTAACTGCTTCTCCCGGACCCTAAAGTGTGTTTATGAAGACAAAAGTGCAATCGAATCTAATTTATTAATAATATAATGTTGTTATTACCTTCCCCTCTAGACAGGCAAGCGTGAGGAGTGGCAGAGAGCCGCAAAGGCTAATATTCTCATTGGTACACCGGGCAGGTTTTCACAACATCAACAGGAGAACCCCACGCTGGACATGTCCAACCTCCATTTTCTTGTCTTAGACGAGGTGGACCGTCTTCTTGATCCTACTTTCCGTCACGAGCTCTTCATTATAGCAGAAAACCTCACCTCTGATCGGCAGTGTCTTCTTTTTTCTGCTACCCTATCTAAGTCAGTTACACTTCTTCTTCCAGATCCCTTTTGTAATCTCTTCGATTTTATCGTTCTACTTGTTTTTAGAATTCATAGTCACCTTGCGCCTTTAGGTCTGAAATCACCCATAATGATTTCTACGGAGAGAACAAATGTCGGTGCGACTCCTGCTCATCTCATCCAATTCTATTCTGTCGTCCCTTTGGGGAAGAAATTGGATTATTTATGGGCTTTCTTACAAAGTCACTGCAAAAAGAAAATCATAGTCTTCTTCTCAACTCAAAAGCAAGTAGGTTGAAGCATGTTGGCCTTCCAGTTCACTACAAGCCGAGCTTAGCATGCCCTCTTTGTTCCATTTGTTAAAGGTTCGATTTGTGCACGATCTCTTCCTCCAAATGCGTCCGTTTTTCGCCGTCATGCAACTAAGGGGAAACATGCTACAGAGCAAACGGTTTAAAATCTACGAAAAATTCTTTCAAACTCCTAGAGGCGCAGTCCTGCTTGCTACAAACGTTGCTGAACGCGGTCTGGGTGCGTTGCTTTCGTACTTCTACTTTCCACTAACTCCTGTCTATTTGGACCAAATAAGAAAACAATCAAAGTGAAAAGATTAAACTTCAAGTGGATTGTGTTGTCATAATTTTTCTCCACCTACCTCAACTGATATTCCTCTGTTAAAAAGAGTTCCAATGACCCCTTGTCATTCTTCATGGTTGTAGATGTATAAAGATTCTGGGACCATCTTAATAGTTTTAAAGGTACCCATATTTTACAAAGTTTTACTTGTTTAGTCATGTCTCGAGATGGAATAAAGATTCAGAGGATTTTTAAACACCTACTTCATGTCCGAAGCCTGGGGTAGTCGGAACAGTTGTGTACTATTTAGTGCCACATCTGCCTGCATTTTTTTGGGCACTTTTTCTCATGCTTCGCTGTGAACTAGGAGACCTCCGGAGCTCTCTTCACGCATTACTGATGCGCTTTATAAACTTTTCATTTCACTTATTAAATATTGTGCGAATTTCTCGCTCCAACTTTATCTATCAAACGCGTTTGACAAAATAGCATTTCTCTGTTCAAATGAGGTGCTGGCAACCGCTTTCATCTTTTTCATTCGGCAGGTGTGTGTGCATTTTTGAGCCCCAATCGTACTTAATAGTGATTCTCATCCTGATTCAAGAACCTATTCCTATTTTTTATAAGTGTGCTAATGTTTCTTGTTGCTTAGACTTTCCGGAGGTACACTGGGTGGTGCAATTCGATTGCCCAAAACAGATTGACGACTACATCCACCGGGTAGGTCGTACGGCGCGAGCTGAGCGCGTGGGTCGTGCCATCACCTTCCTCCTCCCGTCAGAGGTCAAAATCGTCGAACTTCTCGCTAAGTGCAATGTTTATCTTCGTCAGCAGCAGTAAGTTCACCTTTCAGGTTTATATTACTTCCTTTGGTTCTAAGTAAGACATTTATGAGGGTGGATGAGGGCGCTTGCCCTCTGGATGACATAGTAAGTCATTGGAGTTTGACTAAGCACTCTTCGAAGCAGGCGGTACGAACGTTGAAAGGCAGATTTTAATGCGAATTATCACACCACTGTTTGATCACTATCATCTACGAGCTTAATTAATAGTAGCTAATCACTTGAAAATCACTGCTTAACAAATGGATTTCTTTGGGGCCAAGCAGTGATGAATTCTCGTCTCCCACTTATGCTAAGCGGCAGGTGAGTAGCAATTTACTGAAGAAAGCACTGTTGGCACGCTATTTACTCAACAGGTTTCCCGAGTCCAAGCTTCAACCGGCAGTGACGAATCGGGCCCCCGCCCTCCTCGCCAGCCATCCAGAGTTGGCGGCGTCGGCGCGTTCCGCCTTCACTGCTTATCTTCGCGACTACTGTTTCATTCCTAAGGCCACCGGGTCCGCAGCAATCGCAGAGTCTTCCAACATGTCTTCCGTCTTTCAGCCCTCTTGTCTGCCTATCGATGAGTTCGCCACCTCTCTCGGTGCTTCTCGCATTGGCATATATGACTATAATCACCTTTCCCCTCTTCTCAGGGCATTACAGGCAGATTTTTGAGCTTTATTTGGATTAGTGCTGTTGGAACCGATTTGCATTTACTCATACAGATATGTTTCAACGATTATGAATATCCATTTTTGGAGCTAACATGGTTGTTGAATTTAGCACCCTAAGAAGGGTTGTTTCTGATTTGATGCGATTACCAAAACCTTAGGAAGTTTATTGCAGATTTATCTTCTTCCTTTCGCACTAAGCAAAACACTTATTCTTGATATAGATAGGCAAAGTAGCCAAATTTGTTTAGCATATGAATGCAAACAACAAAGTGGTATATTTGTAAAAAAATCTTCCTAATAATTCTTGTCAGGGTTGCTTAAAGCATTAGCATTCATCTGATGGATGGCTTCAATGTACGTCTCCAACAGTCTTCATGCCTGCCAACCCAATGGATGTAGTAACAATTCCACTTGCACTCCTCGAGATTCAATACCAGTCCTAAAGTTTAGTTTATTCAGCCTCTATCGTTCAAAGCTTAAATTAGTATCCCATATCATCCCTCCATGCTTTACTATATGCTTTACTCGTTGTTTGACACAAATTAACGTAAAGTTTATGCTCCCACTTTGGCGTTTCCGAAGGCCTTCCCCTAACACCGGAGTTGCCGAATGTCATGCTTCAGCACCAACCGTCTCGAGTTGTCAACACCAAAGCACAACATAAATTTGCACTTTGGGCGGATAGAAGTAAAATGGAGGCAATCAAGGATGAGGAGCAAACGCAGGGGGAAGATAGCGATGATGGTGGCTGCCTACTGCAACGCAAAGCCTTATCCATCCTTAGGCCCGAGGTTAAGATGAGGGCAGAGGCCAGTGGACAAAAAGTCTTAGAAGTGATTTCCAGTGACGAGGAAGATTCCTTCGATGAAGAAGAGAAGATCCAGGAGGATGGAGACAAGATAGCGGAACATATATTCCTGAAGAAGGCCTCAGCCAAGGTGTGTGTACATTATGGATCCATATTTTCCGACATTTTCCATGTATTTTTTGTATGCCGTCCAAATCGGTGAAGCTTTGAATTAACCCTGTTACTAGTAGTCTAACTTATATGTGTAACTTTGACAATTTTATCAACTCCTTTAGAAGCCGGCGCTGACTCGTATTCAGTTGGCAAAGAGAGAACTGAAGAAGAACATTCGACATCATTCTAAAATCGAGTTCGATGAAGAGGGAAATGTGCGTACTTCATCCACGCTTATTTGCACTGCCCATCAATTGCTTATTTGCACCTTCTTTCTGCACAGCCGCTTGTGAGGTCAGTAGGTGGGGTGCCGGTGAGTGATTTGGGTCTTGACGCTGACGCTGGCGCTACCAACCACTTCCCTCCAGCTCGCCTCGATATTGCGTCTGAACGCGAACGTCTGCGCACGGTGGTGGATGAAAAGGACAAGGTGCGGTGGCGAGCCATAATCCGCGAGAAACACCGTGTTGAACGCAAAAAAGCCAAGGCGGCCCGCAAGTTGGAGAAGTCTGGAGCTGCTCCGCGCCTCCTCGAGGATGAGGTTGGTAGAGTTGTTTTCAATTGTTTGCATCATTATCTTGAACGCAATGTCTTTTGGGCAATCTATGTTGCTGTAGTCTGCTGATGAGGTGGAGGATGATGCTGTTGAAAGTGTCAGAGAAGGTGCTAGCGGATCCAAAGAATGGAAGGGATACGAGGAAGATGTGGAGTCCGTTGGGGAGTCGGGAGTAAAAGAAGACCCAGCTAGAAAGCGTCCACGCAGAAGGTGAACGACTGACAATTCCCTAACTTGTACATTTTAATGTGAATAAAGTAATGTTTACTATCGACTTTTGTTCTTTCCTTTTAATCTCGCTCTTGGGATAGCTAGGTTTCGTCTTCTATTACTTATACAGGTTTTGCCAAAGCAAACAAAAGAAGTAAGAGCTGTTTTTGTTTGCTGTTTTTTTCTGGTGCAATCATCGAGTTGACAGTCCTCGTAGCTGCGGGGTCGAGATTTCATTCTCTCTGCTATTTTAGTGACATGGACACCACTTTACGGGTATGGCGGTGGACAGCTTGACCTGCCCGAGCTAGCTTGTCTGTTGGTTCAGTCTCATTGTGAGGTCAGACTTCCACGAGCTGTGGGATCTGACTTTTCCTTGGCACTGGAGACAATTGCTCGAATAGCCTGGTAGGTATTTTATCAACATGCATGGCAAGGATTTGCAACTGCATATGTAATTAGTATAAAGTGGAGAGCAAAGTCTCGAGTACTCTGTAACTTCACTGCACATCTTTGTGTTGGTGAACTCATCGCCATGGTTGGTGCTACACACTTGACGAAGTATCTTGTGCTTCACAAGGGTTGAATGTTGTGCGGGCTTTGAGAAAAAGAGCTTTGGAATACATGCGACTACATGTGTCGGTAAGTGCTGATTCCTGCTCACTGATTTCTTCGAATACGTCAACGTGAGTTTCTTTTATTAAACTCCCAAATCATTCCCTCATTTCATTGCTTGAAATGCATGCAAACTTTTGTGTTTTTGACAAGCCCGTTATTTAGTTGTTCAAGAAAAAAATAATTCGACAATGGGCTTTAGAAATTCCATTTAGGATTGGTGAAAAAACAATTTCCACATAGACACACACCTACACGCATAGGAAGGGCATTTGCGCAAACTCTGGAGAAAATCAAACAGTGGCAACATGCCCTTGTTCCAAGAATTGATGCATTATAGAAGTGGAGCCGTATTTATTGTTGCGGTCGTCTTCTTCCCTCGTCCTACTTCCAACTTTGCCAACCTCTCTTCCTTCCTGAGTCGACGTCGTGCGTTGGCGAACCAGGTGGAGATCTGAGCGAGAGATAGGTGAGTGGCGAAGGCTAGAGCCGCCTTCTCTGCTCGGGTTGGATAGGGACGCTCTTGATGACCTGCCAACCACGCTCGCAATAGCGCCCCGGCGCCTGACCCCGCACCTCCACGTGCCCCTCTTGTTGCGGCCGCTTGGTTAATGCTGCTGCCGCTGATGTTGCTGTTGTGCCTATATTGTCATTCAAAGGTACTACTTAACTGTCGGGTAGCGTTGTGGAAGAAGTGGCAAACGTCAATTGGGATTGCTTAAATAGCAAAATGCACAAAGGTTTACGTAGACAGACTGAAGAACCTTAAAGGTCAAATTTCCACACTTTTTGTGCGTCTAGCTTCTTCGGTTGAAAACACCACTAAGAAGGAAAATGAATAACATTGTCTAGCCATATTGTGTCGCTAGGCTGCATTGTTGAAATGAATTTAAGGAAAATGTGAATTGCTTGTTTGACAATTGAAATGTGCGCTCCGTACAAATTGCAATTACGCAACCTACGGCAAGACGGAATGCAGTGGAAGTCGCATTTTTTCTGCGATTACAAAGGTTCAAAAGTGTGCTGATGGAGAACATGACTCAGGTCGATCTGGCCGGCTCAACTTTTCAGCCTCGACTTTCATGGTGGCATCAACTGGGCATGCCCACAGGTTCAATGGAATATGTGCTGGTGAGACACCGAGATGCATTGTTTTGAATTCACTCATTCTCATTTGCGCAACTTGTTAATGAGCATGTCTTGAAGCCTACTACCACTTCTCCTGCCATCCTTCTTGAACAAATCACCACCATTGAAGCCCAGGCGAGAAGGCAGTCGTAAAGCTAAGTTACTTGAACCTGCATCGCCCGATTAACTTGGTTCGTAGAGGAAATAGCACGCTCAACGGACTGTGAATTTTCAGACAAACGTGTTCTCGACATTGTAGACGTTGAATCTATAAAACGCTTTAAATGTACGACTAACCTATTTGGTTGTGCCTTCGGGCGCTCAGGTGAGAGTGAAGTGGACATCTGTTGGCAATGCCACGACGATGCGCAATGCTAAAAGAAGCGGAGGCAAAATCCGTCACGGTCAGTCCTCATTATCTCCCCTTTAGGTGTGGTGAGGTAAGCTTTAAGCTGTATCTGTTTATATCTAAATTCACTGGTAACATTGCCTACCGACTTTCCTTGCTACGTCACAGATCTTTTGTTGACTAAAAGACATTCAAGGTTTAAGTCTAGTGTTGAGAAAGTGAAGAGTGATAAAAGTGAGTCCAGAGCGTGAGTAAGTGGCAACCATTTTCTGCTCCCTCTAAATCTATTTCTGTGTAGGTGGATGAGAGCAAATGTGAAGCAGAAAGTATGTCTGAAAATATGCAGTATGTCGTGTTTCGGCTTCAGTAAACACAGTTATCCATCTGTCATGCATGCCTTCTTCCCCCCTTGTTGGGTCGCGGAACGAATAAGCAGTCTGCTGTCAAACAAGCAAATAAGCCGAATTTGTTTCCCATCATTTCTGCTTTAACGGTCAAGTTACTCGCCTTAACAACTGCTTTCTAGTCGCTAAGACGTTGATAAGATTCCTAGGCGACTACCGCTACCTTGTTAAACGGAAGGCAGCTGGTAAGACATGAAATAGGATTGCTTCTCTGCACATGTAAATAATTACTCCGACTTAGCCGCATACTCATCAAATCTTATCTTAGCAACGGAGATTACATTGTCTTACTGGCCCAGTCAGTCCGTTATGAGCGATGTCTCAACTTCTGCTTGCTAATGACATTTGCCGGACTGATAGTCAGGCTAACGGTAATGGAATAGGCTTACAATTAGGCGGATTAGTAGTTCTGATGAGATTTTGATGCGACTTTCAGACAGTGTGACTGAGCCTTCTTCGGGTGTTTGCGATAGCATCGAACCAAGGGGAGGCGGCAGCAAATGCAGCGATGCCACTGACTCTGGCAACCAGACATCAAAGTGCGGTGAGAAGCTGCCATTGCTTGATAGATCGAGTACGCCGTGCTGGGAGGGGTCCATCTGACCTAACATTTCTGCTTTGACCAAAGTAAAAGAGAAAACTCCTAGTGGCTGTGACTTGAGGAAGGCAGCAATGAAGTGGGATTGTGGTGATTACAAATCCTCAACATGCTTTGGCCATTAGAAGCAACAGGACTCACGTAACGTGGACTCTTGTTGAATAACTCTTAAAATAAGTGATTCCTGACATGTGATGCTGTTCAAAGCGCTATTCAACGTAAAGAATGTGAGGGGCAGCTGGAGAGTAAAGGAAATTGGCGCTAGCCACTTGCTTTTTAAAACCCTATTCATAGTCTAGCTTCGGGGGCGGTCTCAAACATTATGTTGGCGCTGCCGTTTCTTATGTCACATTCATCAGCTCCAATTACTTGCTGCCCATTGCTGAAAAAGGGGGAGGGACTGAGTGGATTGAATGTCATTTAACCACCAATGCCACTCGACGCAGAGTTGGTCAGATTGTGATGATCAAGGCAATTTGTTAGGTTTTGTCATCTTAAGAAATCACTCGTACCAATTAAACAACTCTACAGGCAGGACATAGAGGATTATCATGACTTACGGAAAATTGTTTAAATGTCACCAGAGGAGGTCCTAGATGGGATTTATTAACGTCAAGAACTCTTTTCATTGGACAGAAATTCTGGTGGGACGTGATAATCCAATGGCGAGGAAGAGAGGATTGGCCATGCGTATTTGCTCTAACAATGAAGGTCGCATCAGTTGGGAGTTTCGATGCAAGATATTGTGTGACACCCATCTTCATACGCACAGCAATTTACTGCTCAAAAATGCAGGCCATGTCAATCTACGTGTTGCCACAGTCCAAATGAATGATGCCTTAAGGGGGACAACAGACGAGGTAGTGTTGATGGGTCTATCCCAGTCTCCCTGAGGGGACTAAAGGTGACTGTGCCAGTGTGCCTCATTCGGATGGACTAGTCTCTGAGCCGCGTCAGTAACCTCTGCATCCCTTTCCCACGCCAATTAAACATACTTTGTTCTAATATCATTTCACCTACTGCGCTTTAGGGAAGTCTAAGGGCGTTACATTGGTGTCAGTGGAAATAGAAGGGTCTTATGCTGAGGCATCTACTTTGGTATCCCTTTCTGCTACGATACTACTAACAAATGAAACAACATTTGCTGCAACCAGAAGCTATCTTAAAATGCGCCCGTCACGGGGCTCTGCATGCTGCATAGTTGAGTGGAAATTATTGAGTTATTGCTGGAAGGCAATAAGACGGGAAGAAGAAAGGGCTACAAAGCCACATCACCGCTGATGTGCGATTAAACCCATTCTCTGTTAGGATGAGTGTGCTTCCATGCACATTCCATTGACCAGTTATGCTACCTAAAAAAACATAGGTGATGCGACCTGATCCGTTTTATTTGTGTGCAAATTCGATGACAGGCAAGGCTGACAAGTGAATTTTTGTCTAGCAGAGCCAACTGGCTTAACCAGGAGGGTACTATACAAAAGAGGGAAGGGAACATGCCACACCGCGATTGTTGACCAAACTCTTAAAGCCTCTACCTTTGCCTTGCAGCCCATTGACCTGCTATCACAGCCACGTCAGTAGGTTTTGGCCTCTCTTTACACCAAATAAATGCCAATTTCGGAGTTGGAATTTCCCCTCAGTACATTCATTATGCCGTTCAAAGTTGATGCGCAATTTTGACAATTCAAGCCGGCCATACTTTCATGGTTGCAGTTCGGTTGTATGTCGATTTTTAGTCTAGAGAAAAATCGAGAAAACCTCTGCATTCCTGCTTAATGCTGAAGAAGGAGGTTGTGAAAGAAAGAGGCGAACGAGTTGTTTGAACAATTATTTTGACGACGCATTTACTTATCCGTCGAAATCGTATCCCAATACTTACATAGTTGACAGACTCACTGACTTTTTGTCTCAACTTGCCATGATTGCTTTGCTCCGAAGTTGGAGTGAGTGTTTAAAACTACTGCGCCTAAAATACTCGCCTCAAAAGCTAAAATACGACCATGTGAGCAGTTTCCTCCATCTCTTCTTTGGCTAAAATTACCTGCTCTGTCAGAGTTACGGTTAAAATTGATGTACATTCCTTTCAGTACCGATGTTGGCTTTCTCAACCGCGGGCAACCTATTGCCGCAGCTCGAGCATCTCATTGTTGCTGCACGACGCTACGCTAATAAAATAAACAAATTAAATTGATTTGAAAGCTGTAAAGGCGAAATTAGTCTCAGGTGCACTGCACATTACGTCATTTGTTTAAAAGCGGCCACTGAATTTGCGAAACAAACAGTTGCAATCGAGTACCACGAGACCCGCAGATGTCAGCACAACTAAATCAGAGCTTAACCTTCAAAATTAGTTAAAATCCTACTTTTCACTTCCAATTATGAAAGTCACTTGGTTGCAAAGGGCTCATCCCCTTGTAGCAACTTTAAAAATATTAATTTGACTGATGTTTTTAGAAAATCGGAAGAAGACTCGGCGTTTTCTATATTTTAAAGCACTTTTGGCATTAAAAACAAAGTACTAATAGGCATTATGCCAACTGTTCAGGCTGGCTATTCCTTCTGCCAACTTGGCATCGAAGCATTTCTTCAGGGGCACTCCGCATCAAAGTGGATGGCAGCAGCGGAGTGAGTTCAGTAGCGGTAGGAACGATGAGCGAATTAACAGACTAGATTTGAAAAGACCTACAACAGGAAGACTCTAAAATTCTTTATCTCAAGTAATTGCGCCAAATTCCTGCCCTTCGATATGACGGTATTGGACCCACCTCTGCAAGCAACACTTAGAGGAATGTTTGTTAGAAAAATGGTTTCAGTGGCGATCAAAAATGAAGCGCACCCACAATAAGAACGATCTATCTTTTAAATTCGACCTCATTGTACATGAATCCCAAGGTGTCTTGTTCATGAGATCAACCTTTATGACAAGCGTCAATTATGGCCTCATCTTGCGCCAGGCCGCGTGGACTAGCCTTTGAGCAGACTTGAAGTCCATCCTCTATCTCTCATCCCCTTAACACAAATATTTAACTTCACTTGCAATCTTATTCGCTTTAATGGGGGTTAGGAGGTCTTATGACTGACTCTGAGTGTCGCCCAATAATTCAATGTGGGCCTCCAGATTCGGTGATGGTGATTTTGGTGCAGTGTTGGCCAAGCACAGAGGCAGCCGTGAGAAAAAATGTATTAAAAAGCTGCTGATTCTTAGACTTCATAGATTGTCGTCTATTTGCATTAAAAACAGAATAAGACCATACCTTCTGGCGTTATTTAGCTTGAGCTTCACGGGCCGGTTTCGCTCGCTTGTCACACCCAATCTCATTGCTGCTCTGAAAGAGTACGTTAATCACGCGTGCTAAAAATATGCATATTTATAGTTTAAAAGCATCGCCCGTTTTCTTTATTAGCTTGAATTTTCCCAATTCAATTTAACAACCAATCAGTTTCAAGGCCTTTAGTCGAGTATGTGTCTTCTCAGTATTCTGCGCTGGTCTAACGGTCTGTTGTTCGGATGGCATCGTTCAAAGGGATTCTGAATAGTATAATACGAGTTAGTTGTCTTTATTAGATATGCATTTTTAAGCGTCGACAACGATCTGTATCAGAAACACTTGAAGACATTGACTCTGTAAGCGTGCTTCGGTATTTTTACAGGCGCTGTAGAACATTGCTACTCTTGAAGAACTAAAGGCATCTAATGTTTTGAGCGCAAACAGAATAGCCTTCCACATCATATTTTATGCATCGATCCTCTACGTCACGGTTGTAGTCATTTCATATTTTCTTATCCGACCATCTGAAACTCAAGGGAAAATTGTACTTACGGTTTTCGTCGTTTTATATCCATTTATGTAAGTTTTCTACATTTCGGCACTTTACTTTAGAGTATGGTTTTTAAGGTATCTGGTTAATCTGTGGTATTTGGGCAGCGCTGATCGAGCAGGTACGTTATATTTTTCCATATTTTCCTGTCTAGACCAAAAATTGAAGTCGCTCATGAAGCAGAAAAGACTAATTGTTAGTGATCCAACTTTTGCTGAAACACATTTTAGCTGGAAGACGTTATGGGCAAAGAAACTTATAATAAGACCCAACAGCTGCTGAGACGCTTTGATCCAATGGGAATTATCGTGCGGGATAATTTCGTGAGTCGCCTTTTCGGTCCATTTGCTCTTAGGCTCGACAGGACGTTAGACTCGCCAGCTTTGAGGCGGAAAGAGGTGGCAAGTTGCATCATGATCCTAACAATGTAATCATCCAAAAAAACCTGGAAATTTCGCAGTGTGAGGCTTCGATTTCCTGCTTTTAGTCACTCGCGCTCATATCGCAAGTGCTAGTCTTAACTTACAAGACATTCCTATTCCTTGCTTGTTTATACACCCTTACATGTGTTCTTTCGAAAGTTTTGTACAAATGGAATGGTTTTTCATCCTCAGACGCTAAATACGATTCTAGTATAGCTACTCACTGCCTCTGTGGTAAAATCTTGTTTATGCGCCTACTCCTACTAACTTATTTTACGGTATTTGATTAATGGCCACTTCTTTTTAGCTGGGACGCAAACTCCGCAGTTCTCGAAGCCTCCACTTTCCGTTGAACCAACAACGGCGCAGCCCGCTAAAGGACCAATCACTCATCGCCCTATCCTTCCACGCCACAGATCAATACTTGATATCGTGTTCGATGCTCTCGTTGGTGACGGGCCCGATCGTCGCTATGCTCTGATCTGCCAGCAATGTTCTGGTCACAACGGAATGGCTCTTGCAGAGGAATTTGAATACATAGGTGTCTATTATATCTTTAGTGCGACCTTATTTTCCTGAATTTTTTTTGCGTTTGGTTCAACATTGAATCACTCACAAGCCTTTTAATCCTTTATACTTTATATTGTGATTAGAAATTTACGTTTAGCTTGAGGTATTTAATACCTTTAACTATTACCTTCTATAGGATTGGTCGTTGTTTTGTGTCCTTATCCTCCATCGCTAAGGTATCCTCGTATTCGAAGTCACGAAATTCAAGTGCCTTAAAGGTTCATGTGAACGATTGCTGATGTGCACTTTTGACGATAGTTAGGAAGCAATATTCATGCTCTGATCGAAGGTTCCATGCAATTTTGGGCAGACTTCCAATTTTCGACTTTTTTCTGACAGGGCATCATTCCTATTTTCGTACTCTTCTATAGTTTTTGAATTTCTCCTTCCTCTAAATTAACCTATACGTGTTCACTGACAAGTGTATAACCTACATTTAATGTTGTTGGGGCTGCTGGAGACAACTGATTGGATTCTCGGCTAGGGTCAAATTTATACCTATTGTATGGGCTTTGTAATGCGTCATTTTCCACCCTGAATTAAATCCACCAAAATGGATGCTTTAAACATTGACTCTTGGTTGCTCAAAATTAAATTTATTTTAATCGCTTCTATCCATCCAAGAGTCACCCTAACAGGCATCTTTTTTTATTACAAACCAATAAAGATTTAAAGCAACGCATAGATGTATAGAGCATCTGTATATTTTTCGTTCTGCGAAATTTCGCGTCTTTGTCATTGTTACTTAAATGCCTTATTGCGCTAGTCGGTAAGCGATGTTCGTCGGCTTTCGTAAGGGTGTATCGCAGGTCCCTAAAAGATTGTGCCCATAAGGATTATATTAACATGCCTCAACTGTGTACTACTTTATGTGAAATCCTTCTAATTCAATGGTGTTTGCAAAATATGCCAGTAAAGTTGGTACCTTGTGAACTCCATCCACTCTGCAACAAAAGGCGTGGTTTGCTCGCGTTCTTTAAAAATTAGTTATTAGAATTCATCAACGAATTCCCTTCCGGAATCCATTACAAGTGTCTGACAGTGATATTCAAAAAAACCTTTCAACTTGTGGGTTCAGGCTCATGAAACAATTTGCGCGAAAGCATGTAGCCATTTAATAATCAAACTTGTGCTTCTTTGGTGTTTTTCTTGCGTATTTGCTTTGCATGTTGTTTGGGCTCGACTTCTCTTTTACATGACGTCTAATATACCTCCATCTGTATATGTGAATGCGCTCGCACATGTACCTGGATGCGCCCACGTCCCTTCTTACTGACCATGGCTGACTGTCAACTATGAACTCAGGTATAGGAAAGTAATACAGGTTTTTAAGTCCTCACTAGACAGGCTTGCAATCATTTTGCTGGCTTCGTTCTTTGGATTGGTGCTGTCACAACTGGTAATCTATAGCTTACGTTATGATGTTTTATATCCGGTCAGGGCCTAGGGCTCAGTGTCTGCTATATGCGTTTTATCACTCTCAACCTACGAATATGCTACCGATTCTGGCTCTTATGCATGCACAGTACTTCACTTTCCGCACTGTCGCTTGTTCATTTTGATGCTCAGGAGCTTTTCAGTGCAATTGTGAGCACCTTTAATCTGGAATAACTTAACCATTCCACGTAATATTTTTGCCATTCAAGACTTTCTTTAATACAGGAGGTTTGCTGAGTTGTACTTATCATTTTACAAGCATGTCCGAAGGATTTCCAGGTTACGGGGAGAATTTGCTTTCTTCTGCAATAGAAAGTCAATGCTGCCAGCTGATTCTCGACCGAAATCAGTAGTTTGTAATGGTATTGGGGACAAACCGCCGAGAATGCAACTGCTCTGAAACACATCTGTATTTGAACAAATTTTGTCCGTCCTGTTTTCTGTTCAATTCGATAAAGCTAGCGGTGGTGTTCTAGTATGGGCATGTTAGCGCATATACTATCGTCTTTGTTGGAGAACATTACTACACGCATATTGGTTGTCATTATTCTGGGTAGAATTTGGAACTTAATGCTCTTCACATTCAAATGCATCGTTTCTGCTAAGTTGGTTCCCCGCACGTTCTTCTGATGTAGGCTGTAAATGGTTTTGAAATAAGTGGATATGGGATTGCGAAATCTGCATATACAATCGTTCATTTTTGGGCTACATTGACGGTGACGGCGTGGCCTTTAATGTGCAGGAATTTATTGGCTGAAAGGGTACGCCACTGGTGTTATAACCTTTACCGTGTAGGGCCATATGAATTGAAGGGCTATTTGGTGACGTCCTTATTGTATTGGCTCGAAGATATCTCTGAGTTTCTCTTCATCTATGATTAATGCAATAACCTCGCAACGGTTCCCATGGCTATGCGATAGACGAATGCACTATTTCGCACCCTGCTTTGGAACGTCTTATGATTGGCATGGATGTGTCGTCATATGGTTAAAGTCTCTTCAAATAAATGAAGACAATCGAAGTTATCCCTGTTGGCCGGGTTGTTAGTGATATCGCCTTTCTAATTTGACGAAATATCCACGCATAAATCAATTCCTTCCTCTGATCCCAAGTATTTATGACAAACTTCTTGTTGCAGCCTTCCGATGCTGCTATTGTGGATTCCACAATCCCGCCCGTCGAACTCGTCGTACACCGTCTGGCGTGCCTCAGATGGGTCCCTTTCCCTCCAGTCTCGACTCTCCATCGGCCATGGCGACGCCACTCGCCTTACCGGCTGTGCGCCGTCCACAGAGTACTTCAGCTCTTAACCTCACCTCCGTTGGTCGTCTCCAGCTTACGCCTATCTCTGCTTCCACGGAGAATGTATTTGCAGAACCGCTCCACTTGCACTCATCGCAGGGACCGCGGCAGAGCCAACGGTCCCTTAAGGGATGCTCTGAACCGCGTGTTTCCTCACCTTCCGTGAGGGGTCTTCCCGAGGGGGAGAGGAAAAAAAACTTGAGGAAAGAGGACTGAAAGGTTACTGTTTTATGGGACAGATTATATGAATTTTTGCTGTCATTTTTGATTTCGAGTTTTGCGATTCCTTGGAGGGATGAGTTTTGCGCCGCTGGACAAATTGAACCAACTTGTGCTATTCCGTTCCTATGCAACTCGCTACTTAAGAAGCTGAGAAAGCAGGAATTTCTTGGATCGAAAGGAAGAAAAATACTATGAACAGTAGTTTGTATGACGGGGATGGGGCTGAGTTCGTAGGATTTCGTGTCAGGCTTGCACGAAACAATTAGTCTAGAAACGTTTATTTTTTTGTTTCCACAGGCTCTAGTTGGCAATATCATTGAGCAGAGGAATCACCTAGGGGTGGAAGGGTCGCTGTACTTGTGAAGAGTGTTTGTATGTTCATGCTCATTATCTGTGAAAATGTTGGCAATCGCTCAGCATTGAAGTCATTGATGGGTTTTTGGAGAAGTATTAGCTTACTGCCAAGAGGAGGCCATCTTATTCACTTGCTTTTAGCTCAACTTTAACTCCCAAATAGCAACTCAATTCGTATGTGATCATACCATTGTTTAGCAAGGAAATCAAAGTGGTAGCCACCTTGCGGCTTAGGAATATCGAGGGGCTGCACATGACTATAATGCCTAGAAGAAGGAGAAAAAGAAGAAGAAGATAGTGATGTACTCAAATTTATAAGGATTGGAAAGTAAATAGGCGAAAAGAGAGGGAGCAGGTGGGCCGCTGTGAAGATGGTAACTTTGACTCCAGGAAGGCTATTTGGATAGGGCTCCCTCTCCTACCACAAATTACCAAGACTAAATGAGCTTGAGGGGAGTCTATTCGAGTATTGACGCTAATAGTGCATTTGACAGTAACATAAAGTTGTACGTTTTCATGGCTTGTATCCGAACATCATAGGATGTCAAACTCCTTCCTGATTGGCTTCGGAGGGAAAGTTAAGTGCGGTGTCCACCAGTGCAGAGTCAATCTCGGTTAGATGTTGTAAATGGGGAATGCAAAACTTTTGCGTTCGTGTACGTCGTTCCCTCAATCCCTCGCACTCATCGGCAAAAGGAGGCACGTGCGGCAGCGTAGTTGTCTTTACTGCTCTGGTCGGAAACTCAAGTGCATAAATACTTGTTTACAACAGAAGTAGGCAAACATCTGGAGGGTCGAGAAAGGTTGTAATCAAACGTGGAAAACTGGCTACAAAGTCCCGTAGTAAGAATTTTGAGCGTAGCAATATGTTAAGGCTCAGTAACGACCCATCTCTAGAGGATGCATTTGAAATGCGCCTATCCTGAAAGCTAGGGTAAGTTCATTCTTCCAGCCTACCTAAAAGGGGCGATTCAAGGAGGCCTAGGTTAGGTCGATTGCGTTATGAGACGCCCAAGCGCAACAAATGAGGCATCAAACCAGGCGCAATGCCTTTGTCAATTCAAGAATACGCAAATTAGCACAAATGGATTGTGAGTTCTTTGTGAGATTTACACGTACGCATTTTCTAGTGGGTGGAGTGAGAGTGTTAGAAATGGGAGTGTGGAGCATTTTGGAAGACGCACTGTGACATGCGGTTCTACCTGCTTCTATCAGATCTCTCTCCATCCACGGCTGCTGCAAGTGGTCCCTGCTTAAGAGGAACGATGTCTTTCCTAAGTGACCTGGAATTAAGTGTGAACAAAAATGTGATTAGTTGGTGTTTTGAAAGGAGCTGTCAGGCTTTCAAACTGTCATAAGTTTACACACAGTGAATGCAAACGGTTGACTCAACACTTTTACGAAAAGATACATTTTTAACGTGATCATTGAGCCAATGAGATGCGCCACCAAATTCGAGTTCATTTATGCGACAATCGTGCTGACGGCGAAAACGAAAAAGGCATTTGAATGAACGACATGTGAAAATTGAGGAGGGGAGAGCAAAAATTATTCGAATGTAACTCGCAGTTGGTGTCAATTGCGCCCAAGTAAACCAAACAGATCCATCCTGCTCTTAGGGAAAACAGATAATCGTTCCGTCCATGCTCACTTGCCGTCTCAACATTGGAGGATGCTTGCCAATGGACCATCAGCTCTGCAATTTGCTCTGTTATTTTTGAAGCTCGTGTCAGGCACCAAGAAAAGACTTGCTTCCTTATTTTAAGGTTATCATTCGATAACCTCTGTTCTGCAGGGCTTATCGTTCTCAAAAATCTTAACCCCACCTATTCTTCAGTAGAAGACGCGCTCGTTCCTACGATATAGTCGTCTTCCTCATTTCCCATACTTGATGGGCTAACAACCACCGACAGAAACACAGAGCCTCCTGTGGGAGTGAAAACTTGGGTGATCTTGATATATTTTCATTAATTTAGAGCCTATTTATAATTGGCATTTTGAAGATTTCTAACTCGCTGAAGGGCTTCATTTAATGCCTGTCTGTCTCTTGAAATTATGCCGAAGGCCCCTGATAGATGTTGCTCCATAACGATTTGAGTGGACCAAAAATAATGCATATACACTCTCACTCATCTCATTAGTGACAAAACGGCAAATAATCCGGGCGTTCCAACCCGTGCACGAGTCCCCACCCGACAGTAGTCACACCAGTTGTACGTGATTAGGATCACAGTGGTTGTATTTATAAGGTTAGATAGCAGAGCTTCCAAGCCTTCCTTTATCCAAACCGAGAGGTAAAAGGCAGTTGGTGAATCCCAACTTCTATCGCGAGGATGCTGTCTCAAATACGCCGATCATTCTTCTCAGATATTCCGCTTCTAGACTTGTTTCCTTTTAGAAATCCCGTTAAAGACTGGAAAATGCACTGATCATCACATTCGTCCGTTTCCAGTTGAGGTATTGAACGATTTCGCTGCGATATGGGCTCTCTTACTCATGTCCAATCATCCCAGTCCATGTGTTCCCTAAAGAGCTGGCAAATGCATCAGAATCGACAGTTCTACTACAAGCCTTCCCGATTTGTTAATAGCGTATCCGCAGAACAAGGGACATATGTAGACACAATTTTTAACCCTCCTGTCAGCTGTTGAACACAATTCTCCCATTCACAGCACACGCCAAGCTTGCGTCACTGAAATTTCTTGCAAAACAGAGGATGTGGCACCTACAAGCGCATAATTACGGTAGAGCGAGGGTGAGAGGGCCATAGGCATGGTCTCGAGAAAGTGCCAATGGGGAAGTAAAATGTTCATGCCCCTTGGCACCCACGAAACCAGATAGATCAAGTACACGCCTTAAATGCATTGGAAAATAAAGATGACTGTAAAACGTTGTTTGTGTGGCCACCTGATGTGTGGCGTGCGCGTAGAGTGGCCTTCCGGTCAAGCTCCTTCGTTTTCCCTGGAATACACTTCATGTCTTCTTCCCGGTGGGAAGCCTCGGGACGCTACAATGGCGTTCTGCACAGTCAATGTACACCGACCAAGTGGATGCGAGCCTTGCTTAAGCCAACGCTCCTTGCTCTCATAGATGTGTGCCACCATCGATGCCATCGAAAAACGCACCAATGTTGTTGCACCAATTTTGGACTACGATCACAGCAAAGATCAAGATTTGCGAATGCTCTACTGACGTCCTCTGATCTATTATTATCGTCATCACCCTATAAGTTAGAAAGTAGCATATTTTAAATTCCGTCAGGTTTCACTTATGCGCATCTACTGAGTCTACACGACATGAAATTCAAGGATGAATCTGTTTCACTATTTGGTGACATTGTCCCAACTTCATAACCTTAACGAGGACCGTTATTAAGGTGGTTTACCATCAACCCAATGAATTTTTGCCCTGTTCACTACCAACTGAGAGTATTCGTCTGCATTTGTGATAAGTGAAGCCACAACCGTTTGCTTGGGCGATTCACATGTAATCCTGTTTTCTTTCATGTAACACCATTGAAGGGTTAAGTCAATACAGCATGGTGCGCCGCAGTAGCGCTTACTTCCCATGAAGTGGATATTAACGGTTTCCCACATCATACGTTAGGGATTTCCCTGCCTCGCTGATTTAATAAGGTGTTCGCCTACTTCCATTACTCTTCAAAAGAGCCTCTGTAAACTTCGCGCAGTTTTGTAAGCAAAAGAACCCAACGTATGCAACGAGACATTTTTATGCGATAATCGCACCTATTCACGTGGCCAAATGCGGGAAATGTGGATCAAACCAAAACAACTTTAACTATTTGAAGAAAAAATAAAGCTCTCCATGATGCCGAGTGGACATGATTGTGAGGACCATCGGAAAATCCTGTGCAAATCATTTTAATAAATCCGTATTCGTTTCTACGTCGGGCTTATTAATATCGAAAATTCATCAAATTTAGAGCCTCAAGTGTATTCTAAAGTCGCAATGCTCCAAAAGGACAAGCAGACAAATATAAAAACCACAGGAAATTCATGATATTATTATGATCTCCTATCACCTCTACAGACGAGGAAGTTCTACCGGCATATTTGCAAGTCTCCTCAGTTGTAAACGCCCAATTAAAAATACTCAGTTCAGCACACGCATATCTTTTGAGCTGTTGGACGTCCACCGAAATGAGTGAATCCTCTGATATCCTTGAAGTGTACCATCTGATGAAAGGAGAGAAGCGATGCAAAGCTTAGAACAGTGGTTTACCATTCCCTAGAACAGTGCAGAGGTCATTACAATTCGTTCCTTCAAACCAGCTCGACAATCTTGCCTCCATCAAACCAGATTTGTGACCCATCGTGTGGAGGCTAGAGGGGACATCTTCCCATAGACGGCATAAAGTGGCTCTCCTTTGCCAACATAAAGACGATGAGGGTGATAGGAAGATGAACATACAGGTCTGCGACACAATGACCATCTCGCCTAGTTAACTTGCTGAGAACGGAACCATGAGGCACCACGTAGTATTACGGACCAGAACTCAAGATCCGACGAGCCTTTCTTTTACTCACATTTCTTAGCCTTAAACAGCCTCCGTTCATTAATTTAATTCACGTACAAGCTGGCAAGATGTTCATATCGTTTTGTAACAATACAGACTCCCTCCACATTTCAAAATACGATTCAAATTGCTCCACTTCTCACAATATTGCGTACAGCAAGAGGTGTAAAAATGAGCTGGAAGTGTGGCGTCCCGTGACTTCCTGGCCGGTATTAGAAGTCAGTAAGTGCAGCTGGATACACGTAATTCGAAGCCGACAGGGTAAACGGAGCTGGGCATGTCCAGAAGGCCAGGCGAATTCTCAAGTGGTCTCTAAACGTTGTGTGGTCACATAAACAAAGTATTACGGGAAGACGTCACGAAAGGCTTATTTAAGGTAAGAAAACTTGTTGGGGATGGAAACACTCCAGTTAACAAGGCACTAAAATCCATATAGACGTTCTAACATTTAAAGAAGACTTCGATGACATCGAATTTGCTCTTCTTAAAGCGCCAGATGCCTACGGGATTAACATGGAAAACCTATGCGTACGTTTAATTAACATCAATAAAAGCAAAAGTTGTCAAGTATGCGAACAAGCACAGACCACCATAAGATATGTGTGATCACTTGATGTCTGGTGTTTACTTTGGTACTCGTTGTAATGCTTTGCTTGGCGGTAACTTTAGAATTTGTCTGGCCTCTATACACGTGGGCTGGCCTTCGGGCCACGCTCAGGCCCCATTGGCCCTGTCGTCTCCGGAATACATATATTCAGCCTCACTTAAGCCTTCTTCCGCCCTATGGGAAGCCTTGGGACGCTACACTCGTTTCGCCATTGAATGCGTGGGCTGTAATTTAGGCCAATCCAAGGCTCATTCCCCTCGACACCTAAAATACATGCAGTTAGTTTAACTCTATGCTTTGTCTAGCGTCCCAAGACTTCCAACATGGTAGAAGAAGCGGTAAGTGGAGCTGAGTGCATGTATTCCAAGGAGAACAAAGTACTTAGGCCTGGGCATGGTCCGAAGACTATCCAAAGTGTACAATTGCTAGACAAATCCCAAGGAGACCGCCAGCTATCAGGCGGCTAAGTAAATAAGGTATTATACCTGCCTGGTGTGATGTCTCGGTTGCCATAATGGGTACCACGAGATCCTTACCTGTGTCTTAGCAACCCAGAAGCATAAAATGAAAAATTTTTCAAAATACGCTATCTTAAAGGCAAGCCGAATAAAACTTAAATAAGGTAGTCCATCCAGTGCCAGCATAACTGGAATAGCTGCACATGGACATGCATAAGCATAGTTCATAAAATGGAACGACCATATAATGCTACATTATTGGCTCCATTCTTCTCAAAATTGTCTTAAAATCTTATTTTTAAAAAAATAATCTATAAGAACCGATACTTTTGTCTAATTTTTGAACGAAAAAATTGTTTCAGTTGCCTCAGTATTCTGGCGCGTTGTACTTGCTTCGGTCATGGGGAGGTGCGTTCCTGTGTAGACTGTGTTTATGCTCGATATTGTATTTAATGGTTTTATTAAATGTCTATTTGGGGTTAAAAATAATAATTTTCTCACAGGTGGATACTTGTTTCCATCAATAGCGACGAAGTCTCATGGATGTCTTCAAAAATGATCGGCAGATCGATCGATGTAAGGTTCCAATTATGCTATCGTTTTAGGAACTGGCAGAAGATTTGGACACAGGCTCATTTGAAAGGGATTATAAAGCACTAACTATTTTTATACCCAACAGTTATTTAAAATGCATTGTTTTTGATGCGTTGATCAGGGTTCAGTAAAATATTAAATTCCCATCATCTTGGTCTGTTTTAGGCACGATCGATCACCGTATCGTTCATCTCGAAGGCATCGTTCCCGTAGTTCTAGTCGCCATCGTCATTACAGGCGTCACAGACGTGATCGCTCGCGTTCTCGGTCCCCCAGGGATTATCGACACAGGCGTAGCTCGGTCCTTGCCAGCTCTTCGTCTAATTCTCTCGGTTCACTGCTGGCAGCAACTTCCTCACAGAAGGACGGCACCCCTTCGAGAAGTGAACGCGTCTCCTCTGTAGCTCTGGAGGCTCTATCCAAAATAAAAGCTGCGCAAAACAGAGGAACTGATGAGTCTGGTTCTGGTGTTTCAGGTCTTGAGGGTGCACTAATCATTGACAGCACGCTGGATAAGGATGCCGAACAGAAGCGCCTTGAATTGGAGATGCAAAAGGTATGTTCGGCTTTTAAACTTTGTCACTTGTTAACTTATTTGTGTGACCAAAAGAGGCGTTTTTTTCTTTTAGCGTCGTGAGCGTGTTGAGAGAGAACGACGTGAAAAACGCTTGAAACAGGATGTCGTGACAGCCCATAGCAAGCTTCTTGACGGTATTAAGATGCGCTCGATGAAGAAGTGGTCCCTGGAAGACGATGATGATGATGACGTGCCACCTCCTACAGTGATTAAAGAGGATACTCTGACAAAGGAGGAGGATGATGAAATCGATCCTCTTGATGCTTACATGCAGGTTTGTGCCATTCTTCTAATCACGTGCTTATTTGCTTAAGTTGTATCTGAGGCCTTATTTTCATTTTCTGCTTCAGGAAGTCAGTAAGGAAGCTCATCAACAAGTCGATGATACCACTGTATATCATCTGGTTCAAACTCCAGCTGGTCTTATTCAAGCACCGGGACTAATAACAAACCCTCAGTTAGGGTCTGCGAACATAGTTGACGATTCTCAAAAGTCTCAGAAGAAGGTCGGCAGAGGTGAACTAGTTCTCGATGAAGACGAACAGGACATTGACATGCCCTACGTAAGTTGAAGTAAATAAGAGGTCGATTTTCCACCGAGTAAACAAAGCCTCGCCATCACATTTTGTGCTTGTAAGTTTGTTATATGTGAATTTTTATTGATTTTTAGTATCCAGAGCCGGAGGAGAGGATTTCAATAGCAGACGCGTTGGCGCAGCTTCAGAAGCGAGAAAAACTTGGGGCGGTGGATCACAGTAAGATCGACTACCAGCCCTTCACAAAGGACTTTTATGTTGAGGTTCCCGAAATTGCAAAGATGACCAGGGAACAAGTGAAGATTTATCGTCAGCAGTTGGAGAACATCCATGTTAGGGGAAAAGACTGCCCCAAGCCTATCAAAACCTGGGTGCAGGCGGGTGTGTCTGCACGCCTTCTGAATTGCTTGAAGAAGTAAATAGTCGTCATCTCCCTTTACCCTAAATGCGTAAAAAACTACGGTCTTGACCTGGCGTATATTTGTGGGTGCTCTAGCTATATCCAATATTTTGAGTGTAGTCTGAGTGAAAATTTATGACGGGGTTGAATAGGAGTAAGTTTGTAGGTTTATACATTTTTACTGATGTTTTAGAATTTAAACATCTGGTCTTAAAATTTGACCGTTTCTAGTAATTATTTGAAAAAGGGTTATTAAACATCCTTGGTTGTACCCTTGGTTTAGTAAATCATTTTATAGATCAAGAAGACGTTTCCTGTATACCCACATTGGGCACTGAGTTTCCCGTCGGTGCGCTCTAATACAATTGCATATCTTGTATACCATGGATCGCTGGAGACATTTTGCTCGCTTGAGCAATCAGGTCGCCTTTGAACTGGCTTCAGGGTTATTTGAATAGAACGAAAAATACAGCGTATCAACACCTTGTAGATTACGCAGCCTTGTTTACTATCACTTAGCAAGCAACACATCTTTTAATTTTTTTATTTTGAAAAGTTATCTACTTTCATTTGATTGAATCGAGCTATTTCTATCATAAATTAGACCGCAGGCTTCCACATCTGCGCATATTCAGTGTTCATTTACGTTGAGGGAGTCAATCATTTTATTAACAACACTTCACATCAGCATCATTTAGTGCTGTCTTGACCCTCGTGTTCCTTTCTACCCTTTTAAGTGATAAAAATGTATACATATTTGTTGAATTTGTCCCATTCAAATAACTTTTCCTACAGATGCCAAGTTTATATACTCAAGAAACCTGTGACTTCTTTCTACCACTTGCTCTCGTGCTAGGAGCGGTTTTGAAAAACCCACCCCCATCCAGTGTCAATCCTTGCCAGTTATAATGTCTGGGCGGGACATGATAGGCATCGCAAAGACAGGCAGTGGGAAGACACTAGCCTTTCTCGTTCCACTAGCACGCCACTTAGAGCATCAAGCGCCCCTCGAGCCCGGCGATGGCCCAATCGCTCTTCTCCTTACACCCACTCGCGAACTCGCCCTCCAAATCTATAAGGAAGCCAAGCGGCTGGGTCATACCTGTGGCTTCCGCTGTGTCTGTGTCTATGGTGGCACTGGAATCTCCGAGCAAATCGCCGATTTGAAACGCGGCGCTGAAGTCATTGTCTGCACACCCGGACGCATGATCGATATGCTCGCTGCCAATGGAGGTATTTTGCTGTAATCGCACGGTCATGATGAAATTCGGAACAAATTCCTTAAACGCTCTTCAGGCAGCTGTGTAAACTGTAGTATTCACCAGAAAATAGGACTTTCCGCACGCCAAATCTTACCTTATTAGGATCTCACTTTTTTTACTTGAATGACGTCGAGACTCCTTTTATTTTTGATTTTTAAAACTGAAATTTTCATTCATTGCGGTTCATCCCGTTGCTATCTTGCTACCCTTTCATTTTTCTTGAGCGATTCAACGCACTGCCGCAAATTTGCCCTACTCCTAGCCAAAACCGGGTAGAGTTGAACTATTTTTACGTTCGGTTACTTTTCATTGCTGTTTCAAGTCGACGTTGTGTATGCTGTATAACTTTAGCTTTAAAGTGCTGTTCCTCTATCTTTTTAACCGGCATTATCGAAGTTTCAGTTTCGTTCCACTAAATCGAGAGCTTGATCAGTCATTGCATTTGTTTGTAGTTCGAATGACCAATGAATTGTGTAGCTAACAAAAACCATGTAAATGGTTTATATGCTTTTGAAGCCGAAGTTTATTTGGATACTTTTCAGGACATGTGTTTGATGGATGGTATCTCTACAAGCCTGTGCGGAATTTTAGGTCGAGTGACGAATCTTCGACGCACAACCTACGTGGTGTTAGACGAGGCCGACCGCATGTTTGATCTGGGCTTCGAGCCACAAGTGATGCGCATTGTGGACAATTGCCGACCAGATCGCCAGACTGTCATGTTTTCTGCCACATTTCCTCGGCAAATGGAGGTGCTAGCTCGAAAGGCCCTCACCCAACCTATTGAGGTACAAGTCGGTGGTCGCTCTGTTGTCTGCTCCGACGTCACCCAGAAAGTTGTAAGAGTCCTCTTTCGTTAACACGGGTATATCTTGACAACATTCTCTTTACGCTTGCTTATTTATTATTTCTTGGACAGGCTGTTTTGCAGACAGAGGAAGAGAAGGTAATGAAATTGTTGGAGTTGTTGGGAATCTATCAGGAGGAGGGGTCGGTTCTAGTTTTCGTTGAAAAACAGGAAAGTGCAGACGAGTTAATGCGCGTACTTATGAACTATGGATATCCCTGTCTGTCGCTGCATGGTGGCATCGATCAGTATGATCGCGACTCTGTGATTACCGACTTCAAGAAAGGTAACATCCGCCTCCTCATTGCTACCTCGGTGGCTGCTCGAGGTCTTGATGTTGCCGACTTGGTGCTCGTGGTCAACTACGACTGTCCAAACCACTATGAGGACTATGTCCATCGCTGCGGGTAATTTTCATTCGAGTATCATTGACTCACAAACTTACCAAAGCTTAAAGTACCATAATTTATGCGGCTACAGGTAAATGATCTAGTGTCAGCGCTTTTCACCAGGTTGATCACTTCCTTTGTATACATTTTCTTTTATTCCTTAACACCTAGTTTGTACTCGGGGTGGAGGTTTGGTGGTCTTAACAAATTGTTCCGTATAGCACCCTAGTCGTCCGTTCATAAGCATTGCTTATTGCTTTTCGTTTTCATAATTTCACTGAGATAAATATAGTCATATGTTTGGAATTGGCATGCGACCATTTTTTTCATTTTTTTGAGTTGGCAGTACTTTGGATACAGGGTCGTGGAATTTGGGCTTGAATTCTTTCGAAAGATTTGTAAATTGTTCATCACCTTCTCTGGGCTAGTATCATATTACTGTGTTTAAAATGTGCTCATGGCGGATCATCAGCATGACCGCGTTGCATTCCCATTTACTACAATCAGTTTGAAATATTTATCAATAAAAGACACCTAATGAGCCGTATTCGAGACCATAACCATATTGCAGTGTTTTTTGAGTCAGTGATCCACAGAGAAAGGCAAAAGGAGACGTAAATACTTGAAGGTAAACGAACTCTAGAGACTATGTTTCGTCTCGTTGCAAGCGCACTTTGTACTCTGATCTGGGAATGCAATAATATTTTCTCTCGTTCGTTATCGATTCTTCAGTGCCCTCTTCAATCCACAATGATGATGGCATTGGATGTGGCAGAAAGTCAGTGAACAAATCAAGCTAGTTGTTTTTAAGTTGTCCGTTAATTGTAATTATTGTGCTTTGATTAAACCTTTTCGCGACCATTTTATCGTGGTTGCAAATGAAAGTAGCGACGAATTTAAACGAATCCAAAACGGCTCGTTGTTTATTATGTTTATTCATGCGTATTTATGTCAACTGTTTTGTATTCCTTTAAATAGGTTATCACTTTCAGACCTTTCTTATTTAACCTAATCATTCGTGTAAAACGGATGTGTGTATGGGCTGTTGAAAGCAGATTGTCGGGTTCACTTGTAAATAGTTCCTGAAATCTATTAACTTGGCACTCTTTTCCTTTAAAGTCGAACAGGCCGTGCGGGAAGGAAGGGCACCGCGTATACCTTCATAACACCAGATCAGGAAAAGAACTCGGCAGATTTGGTGAAAGCCTTCAATGCAAGCGGTCAAATGGTACCAGAAGACCTCTACCTCATGTTTCAGGCTTACAAGGAGCGTATGATGATGGTGAGCGTCTCACCCTCTAATCTTGGCTTCTTTAATTCACTTTCTCCATGCAGGAGGGCAAGAAAGTGTACAGTGGCAGCGGATCTGGATTCCGCGGAAAGGGCTTCCGTTTTGATGAGGTGGAAGCTCAGCTGGCCAGTGACAAGCGTCGTTTTGCCAAGGCTGCTCTGGGCATCGAAGACTCTGACGATGAGGGTTCAGGTGAGGGCGGTGGTGCTGGTGGTGTCGACTGGGACAGCAAGATTGAAGACATGTTCAGCTCCAAACGGAAAGTCATTGATGTGGCCAAATCGGCTGCAGAGGCCAATACGTCTGCCGATCCGTAAGCTTTGTCGTATGCTTTGTGTACTTCTTTATCCACCTACGTTTACCTGGTACGGAAGCCTGCGCAATGGAACCGATGTGCTTAAAACCGCCCATGAGCCCAAGAACTAATACTTTCTTAGGGTTACATTGTTTATCCAGTCAATAAGCGTGATCTGACTTGTACTTCGGGATTTTGCCATCAATTTTGACATTAAATCTGATTTTTTGTCAAACATCCGTAGACACCTGTGATTAAACGACTCTTTTCACCCTTGTCTATAGGTCTAACTCTAACATGTTGTTGTGACGTCTATCTGTCCCTCAGGTTAAATGCGTAGTGAATACAGACTTCTCATTACTATTCTGTTAAATAAGCTTTGTGGCTAAACTTACTGAGACCCCAATTGTTTTTAAAGCCTTTTCTAATCCTTAATAGATTTCATTTTCTAACTTCTTACTGGTGTCCTCTATGCCTCATGAAAACGTTAGTTCATAGTCTGGTCTAAGGTGACCAATGAAAGTTAAGGCTAGAATGTGCATTCCTGATTTGATCTGTCATTGATAATGCATTGCGTTTTCTGGGTCGATTTAACTACACATCGTCGCAAAATTTATTAGCTTTTATTACAATACAGCTCTTAGATTATTCATGTCGCATTTCTATGTAAATGTGCAAGAGTGACACGCACTTTGGAAAGTTACTTTGCTACCAATGGTGCGGTCCGATGACTGGAGTACTTACATTTTCAACTTGCGTTACAGGCGGATTACTTCATTTACATTTCGAGACTTTGCGTTCCGATGTGAACCGAGTACCTTGACTATGCAGCTTACTTCAGTTTTCTGTGATAGTGATAATATCGAGAGTAGTATATTCATGCGTGCTGGAAAAGCAGTCTTATGCATTTCTAGTTTATCGCAACTTATTTGCGACCTTACAGTTCCTGATCGCTATTGGCAATAGCGCGTTTTGTAGACAAGTGAAACTGCGCACTTATGTACGGCATTAAAAATTCACTTATTAATACTTCCCTTTGGGCATTGGTAAAAATTGTTTGTTCCAAGTAGTGCTAGACCTATTGTCATATTGGTTGCAAAGAAACCATAAACGGATCATTATATGTCCTTTAATCACCTGTTTCATGTGGGTTTTCATCAATTTTACCTTGAACGCGGTATTAAGTTTCTATCGATGTGAAATTTCACTTTGATATCGTTTCAAATATTAAGTATTGTGTGGGTAACGTCGGTCGCTTATGGACTTTGGCGACACAGCTATATCTTCTTTTTCGCAATAGTTCCCCTTTTGATCCAATGTTAGCATACACAACCTTCCCCTCCTCCAAGGCAGTCATAGATGCGGTAAGTTTTCGTAGGGTTGCTTATGTTTTTCGAGCAGACAATGTAGCGAGACTGTTCTGCAATTACTAGTAAAAAGCCTGCCATTATCTGTTGTTATCAAATTTGTGTCTTCAGTCTTGACCCAAAGATAGCCGCGCAGCTAGAGCTGGCGAGACAGAAGGCCAATCAGGTGGCGCTGCGAGGCGGTCTGGGGGCGAATGTAGCGAAAACTGGGTTGGGAGGACCAGCAGCGGCGGCGGCAGCGGCGGCAGTGGGAGGGATGACAAACGCTAGTCGCACAGCTGCCGAACTGGCTGCAGAACGACTCAATGCTAAATTAGGATACTCAAAGTCCTCATCCTTCACGAATGCCGATGGTGATGATGAGAGTGGTAGTGCTGCCACAAGCAGCTCTGCAGACTTTGTCCGAAGGTATGTATCATTTCTTCTACAGCGAAACTTGTTTCCATAAGTCGAATAGAGTTAATCATCTATCAGAATCGTATCGAATGGCCGTGAGTAAGCTTGCGTGCAGGGTCTTTTTAACTTTTGGTAAGTCTTAGTGGTCCTGAGCTTAACTCCCTCTGTATGTGTAGGTACGAGGAAGAGTTGGAAATCAATGACTTTCCGCAGAATGTTCGATGGCGCATAACGGGGCGGGAGTTGTTAACTCACCTGAACGAGTACTGTGACGTGGGAGTTTCAGTACGCGGGGTTTACATACCTCAAGGCAAGGCTACCTCCGCTGCTTCGGCTGCGGCTGCAGCAGGTCTCGTAGACTCCAGCGACGAGCGACCGCTCTATCTCTGCCTTGAGGCTACTAACGAACGTAGTATTCAGCTCGCCAAGGCCGAGATTATGCGCATTATCAAAGAGGAGCTCGTTAAATTAGTGAGTCACCTCGCTTCTTATTTCTTCAACTCGTCTACTCCAGTTTTTTGCTTGCAGATTTTGAAGGTGTACTTGTTGCAATGGTGCTAAGGTCACTGTCAATATAAATCCGATATAGTTGCCGTTTCTAGATTTTGCGTTTTACAAGATGTCCGTAACAACGAATCAAGACTGGTGTACACGAATCTAAAAGTAACATCCTTATAAGTAATGGGTCACTTGAATGGAGCAACAAATTGACCTCTAAGGTCACAGTAAGGTCAACCAGTGCACAGTAAACTGTGGCTGAAGCGTAACCATATTCTGGGAATTAGGTTGGAAATATCTTTGGTTTACTTCAAACGATAGTGGTCAGCGTTTTCTATGACTGCCGTTGTCATTATAGGCGATTAAGTCCCTCCATCCATACCTTCAAGATTGATTCTCTTGGTTACTGATGGGCCTGTCCTTTTTATTGGCACAAAGTGAAAGTAGCACTCTTGGGGTAATGGGGCAAGTGGAACGGCAGAATGCACTTCGCAGCCGTGAAATCTGTCAATTATCGTAACACGGTTATGTTGATGTAGCGCTTTGAGTCTTAACTGATGGCGAATGGCTGGCAGGCCTTTAGAGGTGCATTAGGAAGAACGTAAGCTAAATAGCCTATGTGTAACCTCTTGGCCGTCCTCTATCGCCGGCAATTGTAGTGTAGTTGGTGAAAGTCATTAATTCCTCTTATTGTTTCATTGTATTTGGTTTAATTCACCGCTTTTCACCGCCAAAAAGCGGTTATTCAGTAATGGACGTTTCATGGGAACAAGAATCGGGATTAATTCTTTCTACCTTTTCTCGCTCCAGCGGTCCTTAGCCTTATCTAGGTTCTATCCATCTAGTGGAGGGGTAGAGCAGTTTGCGATGGGCAGCTTTTTAATCAGTTTCTCCGGACCGTTCAGGGCTAGTGTCGTTTCGTTTGTTAATAGTGCTCCTGCAGATTGCGAGGTCCATGATAGGCGTCAAGTTTCACCTCTTCTCCCCTCCTCAGTAGACACGCTAAGGTTTACCACCTATCAATAAGTATCAGAGTAACTGTAGTGCATCGCGATTTTCTTGAAGACGGAAGAAGGCATATTATTTGGACATAATATGTATTTCCCATGCGCAGAAGGACTGAAGGGATCTACCGGCTTGATCCATGTTGGACTTTTGGACGCAAGCGTAGTGGCGAAGCTCTAAGTGGTGTGTAGTTAAAACCACGGCTTGAGGGTGCAGTTGAATAATAGCAATGCAGTACTGCTTTGGTTACTCCGTTCAAGGTGTAAAAGGTACTGTGTCACTTTTTTGGACTTGATTGGAGGGTGTTAGTAATTGCCAGAGAAGTTGGGATAATGCCATGGAACCAAATGTTTTGCTTCCGTTCTCCTGCACTTCAACTGTCTCATCTCTTTTCAGCAATCAAGTAATAGTCTGACCAACCGGGGTCGGTACAAGGTGATGTGAGACGACTTTGGCTCACTTCCCCTCCGCGTCCTCTCTGTCCTGCTTACTTGAAATTGTTTTCCTGGAACTGCTGTATCATCTGTTGTACATGGTGCGAAATACATTTACGCGGCTATTTTATTTGCCGATCTTAGCAATAGATGCGTTTTTTGAATGACTGAGGGGGTATATAGTTCAATGATAATTAAATTTGTTCACACGCCATTTGAAGGTAGAGAAATTGGCCTTCAACATTTTTTACCACAGCCCTGTTGAGTATCGGTGATGTGGGAACAGTCGCAGCCGGAGCGCATTTGTGTTGGTGTCCTTGCTTAAGATGTTTGATGTTGAAGGCTAACGAATGACCTGATTTGGTCAGGCATAATAAACGGCAGCAGTGACCACCTGGCCGAACCTGATTCATCTCTTCCCAATGGAGTCACGAGTCACTGTAGGGGATGAGGGGTTGTTTTGTGGACTGAGCTGGTTTGACTGTCGAAAACCCAGTGGTTTGGTCAGGTGAAAGCTGTTTTTGATATACATCAACATGACAATTCGAAGGCAATGCTTTAAGTGGAAGATGAAGTTCTTTGAGCAAGGGTCAATCTCATTGACTGACCGGTTTCATGTCACTCGGCCTTGTTCTTTTGTGCAACCGCTTCACGATCTTGGTAGTGAGCCCTGATTGATGGCACCTTTGAGTATTTCGTAAGCCGCGCATTGGTGCAATGAATCCACTTAGAATAGAAGCTAATTCTCCATGGCTTGAATATGTTACGGAAAATAGAAGCGCAAATCTCCATTAGCCTCGTTTTGTCAAGAAAAGTTGGTTTAGTGAATGAATCGGTTGAACCTTACCAGAGTCAGCGTTTGTAAGATTGGGAGTGTGTGTTTCACTCCAGATTATCCTGCGCTCGGTGTACCAACGATGTAAAAACCAGGGAGCGGTTGGCTGTTGCAGGGTATCTAGGGCGTCCAAAGTTTGAGGGTTTTTTCGCTAATGGGATTGACCTCCCTGCTCTGAACGTGACGCTGATGGCTTTCGAGAGGTGTGTCGTTGTGATCAGGACGTTTAAGGGTCTTATTGGTACGCTTAACGGAATTTTAGCTCAGCAACTGCGAGGTATTCACCCCGCTAACACATCTTCCAAACAAGTCTATTCCACGTTGATGGGTTTGAAATTTGATTTGTAGAGTATGGAGTTTACCTTGAAACCAAACGACACCTAACATTGTGGTCTTCACTTTTCCCAACCGGTGGAAATTATCATATTCAATAAATTCAACCAGTCCGGGGATGGAGCGTCACTGTTCTGGCTGCCACAAAATGAAGCTGCCTCACTTACAGCGAAGCATAGGCAATCAGTCTCATTGCACCACCAGCGAAGGAATGTTTTGCACGTTCTTGTCCCACCTGACTGATCGAAAATGCAGAAGTTGTAAGCCTTGGGGAGTGCTCATACTCAAAATACCAATTTATTGACTTCACAAATTAAAAAGAAACTTATAAACGATGAATCATGTTCAATGCGACTCTATTGTTGACGTCGAAGAAGGATTTTGAACTTCTCATCGTCATAGCGTTGATCATTCTGCTCACCACAACTACCACTCTTTGATGAAACAAGGTGAGGAGCTGACAAACAAGCTGAAGGGCGTGAGACTTACGTAAATCTAAACGGAGGCGACATTCCTTTTCTGGCATGATCCGCTTGTCAGCCACGTGTAACCTACCTGACATTTTACGCAGATGTCTTTGTTTTTAGCAGTCAGTAGGCGTCGGACTGCCGATCTCAGATCCCACAGAGTCATTATTTGACCACCGAAAGGCGCCAAGCAGGTAAGAAACTAGTAGCTCTCCGAGAATTTTGGTTTAGTTGGTATCAGGACTAAGAAAGCATTTGACCTCGACGCTTACAAAGCACTGCTGAACACCAAAATAACGACAAAACGCAAAATGGTTAGAAGGAAAGTACGGAGTGAAAATCAATCTTCCCGTCGTTTGAATGGAAGGGCACGAGGAAGTGTTCGAAATGTTATCGCATCACCGAGGCTGCTTGTGTGGAACTGATGGCGGTATGACCGTGTGTCAACCCACCATTCATTGCGCCTATGGAGCGCACTATGGGTTGAGGAAAGGCGAGGCCTTGTACCTTCTCAAACACTAGGTGGTTCAATCCATTGTCTGCAGTCAACTGCGGTTTGGAATATAATTTACCTAAATCACCTTTTGGTCATCCAGTGTTACTTCCAAGAGCCGCTACCCTTTATTATTGTTGCCTAGTCAATTTTTATGAGGCCAAGATCATACCATCGGAATGCAAAACAAATTCAAAGCGAATTGGTAAGTTATACTTGAGAATTCAGATTTATACCTAAAAATTGTTTACAGTGCATTGTGATGTGAACGCTATTAACTGCGCCTGATGAAACGATTGCTGACAAAGTCTGAAGGACAAATGATAATGCAACTAGTCCAACGCATCACAAACGCCTCACACAATCCCCATGGTGATGGAGGCACTCATTTCCACCTCTGATTGCCATACACGCGGTTATCACCCATGGGACGAGTGGTGAGGGCGACGAGGAAGGGGCGCGGGAGCCATACGATCGATAGACTGGTGAGGTTGGGTGCCAAGACGTCACGTGGACTGCGACATGATGGCAAAGGCAAGAGATCAGGCAGTGGAAAAGACAGCAGCATCCTCAGTGCAACCAAGCTGACGCCAAGTATGAAAAGGGAGAACTCAGTGAGTTCAGAAGGCAAGAAAAATAAGGCAAACAAACCTGCTAAAGTAGGAGTCAACTATGTGCTCATTAACGGAGAAAATAAAAATGAGTGAGTTACTTTTAGCATAACTTCGCTTCAAAGAATACTTCTCTTATAATTTTTCACATCAAAAAAATAAATTTGTTATGCCTATTTAACTACACATCTTCTGTTACAATTCAGCACTTTAATTAAGGAGGTTATGGATAATTTTGCTATAACAACCAATGAAGAGAAAAAGGCTTGATGGTGTGAAACGGTGGAAGGTTCAGAATTGTTCTTCACCCACCATTGAAGTGTTTTTTCAGCTAGCGGTCATTCCGCATGGGATAATAAACCTGTACTTTGTATAATTAAGTAGCATTTCGCGACGCCGGCTTGAAATCGTTTGCTGCAATGTTACGAAATGCGCTCAGATGTTAACATTATCTTCCTATTCAGTGTGTTCAACCTGCGTTCGGAAGTGATGGTGAAGCGTCGTGGCGGTCTAATGCTGAGTTGGACAGGTGCGCGGGTGGAGGTGCCCAATGGGGCGGTGGGAGGCGCAAAGTCACACCTCATCTTGGCACCTCTGCCCGCAGCAGTGCGTGCTTACGCCTGTCCGTGGCTCGGGCCCAATCTAAGGCTGGGCAGTGACGTTCACCTCCTGTGGTGCTCCGCCAAGCTGCGCAAATTCGTTCAGTGCTTCATTCCCTTCTCCTGCGCCACTGCCATTGAGCTCACTACGGTCGAGGCCACCCGTAAGGCCGAAGAGGGGTATGCTGAAAAAGGTACTCCCTACTTTTTCTCTGCCAACGATAAATTCCTCATGGAGCAAGGAGACTTTTTACCTGCATTTCAATTACCTCTGCGGTGTAGCTGATCTTATATTATGCAAAATTAAAGGCTGCATCCAATGCAGACCTGCTGATCCGTCGCAAAAGGAAGCACCAAAGATTTTATAAATAAGAAGAACGGATTGTCAAGCAATACACTTTTCAGTGCATTACTGGTATACTAACTTGCTTGATCTTGCATCTTACTCCCTGTTGCCTCGAATCGCATTGACCATCCGAAGGCTTGATCGCTTCCATGCTCAGGGCATCGCAGCGCAGTCGGTGCTGTTGGATAACCATTTACAATTCTCTTGCTCCGGTCATCTAGCGGCAACAACACTTGTCCATCTTGACGATTCCATTTGACCTTAAGTTTTGCCGAGCGTGGGATGTTTAGTAAAGAAGGGGAGACTGAGTTGATCAGCACTCGTCCACCGCCAGTGATAGGGACACTTATATAACACTATAATTATGCTTCCTAACCATTCAGTGCTACCAAGCACGTCTCTCAGCGCCCTTTTCAGCCAGTAGAGAGGGGGCGACGTCTCATGTTTGCCATGGAGAGCTCTATAATGACATTTTCAATGTGACTGAGTGTTGATGATGGTGTCGCTTCATTTTCTAATGGCGGTCCTGTGGAACACGGGACTGAGGCAGTTGTCAAAAAGGAGGGTCATTCTTTCAGCTCTTCTATTAAAAGTTGGCTTTAGTAAGGAGGTTAGTATGAATGTTCTTTGAGACCGGTCTTCTTTCCTGCTGCTGCGGACCTAGCGATTTGATCATGTTCAGGGATGAAATAGTCGCAAAATCAGAACTGATTATGCATTTTTTTGCATACAGAAGAATTGAGGGTCTGTTGGCATTATCCCCGTGTCATGTCACTCAGCGGAAAGGTGGCAAGTGGACATTCGGTGCTTGATAAAATAAAACAAAGCTTGGAATAAATAATGATGACACTGCAATAGTTAGGTTATGCTGATAGATTGTTGACACTGGTTAAGAGGAAATCGCCTTAAGAATGGTGCTATGAGTTGTATATCATCTTAAAATCCCTTATTTATTCATAAGCATGGAGTGAATGACTTACCACCACAAACACAATGTGTGTGAACATCTGGTCGTGGCAAAGACACCTCAGTAGGTCAACCCCTTTGCTCTCTCAGCCCTCAATTACAGAGTGGGTTGGAAAATGTTAAAATTTAGACGCAAAAACTTTTTTCCTTTCCTTTGAGGGGACACAACTCCAGTGACAGAGCAGTTGGAGGATATCTGCAGAGGAAAAGAAACGTGATTAACGTCTTTTGAGCTGAATTTTGTTGGTTGTCTTTGCTTATCGTTTATAACGACTTCTGCCGCTTCCCTGTCCCAAGTAGTGCTTTTCTGTTGCAAAGCAAACGAGCAAAAATGTGCATCTTGACGCCTATAACTGCTATCTTCACCTTTTGGGTACTTTTAAGCTAAATAATTTGCTTATTAGTGCGAAATTTTGTGGTTGCACAGGAGATGTCCACTTTATTCTCTTCGACCGCAATGATTACCATCACTCATCAGAGTAAAGTTTTGAAGTCATCTAATCGTTGGTCTAAATATTTTAGTTAAAGCAGCGCGAAACGCAGCCAAGGTTGCGGCGAAAAACGCTTCTGAAGGTACCATCACTGAGACCTTGGGCGATGGACATCATCGTAAGTCTTGACTGTCCTTTGCCTCGTATTCTTGCATTCCGTTCACCCGCTGCACCGAGCATTAAAAGTTGATCAGTTAATAACTGCCGCCACCAGACAGGCCTGGCCTGTTCCCTTGAATTTGTGCATCCTCCACCAACCCTGAATTGACCGCCAATCCAGCGCAACACTTCCCGTGCTCCACTCATGCAATATCGCTTTGGCTTTCGTCTTATTTCTCTGGATCATTTCAGTGTCTCAAGTCCTTCACTCATGCCTGTCCGCAAGCCAACTGTTCCTCCGGTTCCTCAAACATTACTTACTGCTCACTGTAGTACAGCTGATGGATGACTTTTAACTCGTGGACAAAAGATGAACTTCTTTTAAAAGGCGTGCTTCCGATTCCTTAACCGACATTTCTGATGTAGGCTCTTGTGAGTTTGCATAGGCGCGAAGAGCTTGCAATATTTAGGCCTGATAGACATGATAAGTCAACAAAGCGCTTTCACATTTGGTCTCGCTAAAGATGGAAAGGAGTGTCGGTGTGTTGTGTAAGTCTTTCCTTTTAACTTGTTTAACTTCCAAAGTCCATTTATGAGTTCTCCCTCTTTTTCGCGTCATTTTTCTACCATCTTAACGTGAGTATTATGAAAGTGAGATCATAAAAGTGGACACATGGTGTGTGCCATTCGTTACTTGTGTACGAAAATAAAGGTGATGTCGGTGACCGCGGCTTAAGACTGCTTCACAAAAGTAGGTTCATTCGTGTCTGTTGGACCAACTCTCGAGAGAGGGGCCGGAGCCATCCGACTGACTACTTTCTGCTGTAGTTTGCGATGAGAGTATGACAATCGAGAACTTGCGACAGGGCATCTTAGCATTCAATGCATGAGCACTTCTGCTATTTCGATCAGCTAGAAACTAAGCTTAAAAAGAAGCCTTTAAGAGCTACAGTGCTAAAATTACAAAAGCACCAGCGTCTCTCTCAATCGGCTTGGCCGACTGTTCTGAAGGAGGAGGGTGCAGACTAGTAAGCAGAGGTGAAGGGCACCTTAAAGCTCACATACACGCCTCTCGTTTCCCCATTGCAATAACAACTTCCTTCAAGGGTAAAATCTATCGCCTTTCCTTCGCTGGAGATGGATTCTTGCAGATTTATGTGCAGAGCTCCCCGAAACGTATGACCAGTTTGTGTGCAAAACAAATAATTAAGTAACATTTGTTGTCAAAAGGAAGAGCATTTCTCAACCTCATCAGCGCCTCGCACGGTCTTGATGTAGCAAAAGTTCATTTTCGAAGACTCATAGTTACGCTACAAAGTTTTGACTATCATGTCCTGCTTTAAAAAGGCATTTAAACGCAAAATGAGCTTGTGCGATGTGGGGCAGTGCTTTGCTGTCGTCCAACAGCGAACCCAAAAGGCTGTGTTGTAAGTCTGCTCACAGCAGGTCAGCCCTGAATGAGGTCTTGAATGTGTCTCCGCATCAGACATTGTGCCACAGGTTTGCGTTTCCTCCACCATGATTGTGTTAAAATGCTTCACTAAGGGCATCCGTGTACATGCATTCTTGAAGAATGGGGAGGCTGAGGAGGTGAGGAACTGAAAAATGCAATTCGAAACTGACCTTTTTGTACACTTTCATCTTCAGAGGAGTCGCCTACTCCAACTTCAGAGCGGAAGAGAGACAAGAAGAAAGCTGGACGTCACGAGAGAGTCAAAACTGTTGACTACGTTGCAGTTGGCGTACCCATCCTTGACACTCGATCTGTCTTCGTTCTTCAGTCCAAAGTTGGCGATAATTTCTGGACCTTAAAAAGGGAAGTCGAGGTACCTAAAAGTTCTCGTGTATGCGATGCCAGTCCATTTTGCAGTGCTCACTCATAGAACAAAAGCAATCTACTTAAAATTAAATTCAGGTATTCTGACTATGCTCATATCGGTGTAAAGATTTGCTTAATCTAGTGGTGGGTTTGTCATACATTAAGCAGCGTCTCTAAACGCCTTTGTTCCGTCAGTGCTGTCTACTGAGTTAAAAGGTGGACACGAATTTGTGCATTTCAACAAGCCTACAAATTACTTTCCTTATTCATCACAGTATTGCTGCTTATGACCGCAGTAAATGTGCAGACATGAGACATCTCCTGAGCATAACACCGGTTGGTGCAATGCACATTGAAGAAAGTACTTCATTTTCAGCATGCCACATTGCCAAGACTTGTCTTAATCTGTAAAATGTATGCACGGAGTTATCTACTTATTTCAATGCTCCTAACGAGGCGCGAATGCGGTTTAGCTCGTCGGAAGAGCACATTTCGTTGTGTTCCCTAATTCCTTGAATGTTCACCTGATAAAGGCCAATGGATAAGAAGCACTTGTCTAGGGTACGCGGCGTAGAAAGTAGCAGAACTTGTTGTCCACAAGCAGTCATTGATGATACATCTTAAACTGCTGATGAATGCAGTTTTTGTCAATTTCGCAACCTTTTTTATCAATTTCGACGCGTTAGAGTAGGAGGACCAACTCAGGCGGTGCTTTGTGTAACGCAAGAGATGAAACACTCGTCTACACCAGCACCGCTTGGGGAAACAAGGTAGTGCAAGGTGCCAAGGCAACTGTTTACTACATAGACATGTTTACACATTCTGTCAGTCTCATGCTCTCCACTTCTTTCCCGTTCGATGTACAAATTTGCAATGCAGCGCGAATTCGATAAGGCGAAGCAACACTTGACAATCAAAGACAACTGTCCCGTGGGGGTGTGTGCGTGGTTAGCATTCAAATGCATATGACTTGGTTGAGGTCGACACAGCAATTCGATAAGCGTTTATCTGCTCCTACGGACACATCCAGAATGGGTGCGGGGAAGACTGCAAGAAAAGCTAAAGGCTGGTAAAACAATTGTATAGGGATGGGATTTCGTTTGACACAAGAAAGTCTACTTTTTCGCGTCTCAGGTCACAGGGCGTATCAGTGGGAGACGTCGCATCATACTTGAAGGATTGGGAAGAGGTGGGAGGTTCGGGCCAGCGTCTCATCCACTTTGTGCCCTCTCTGACTCGTCCCTCATCATCATATGCAGTACCTTGACACGCATGTTGGAATGGAAATTCAGAGCTAAAGACAAAGTGGACATTAAGGCGACTAAGAAAAGGGTTTTATGAGGGTTTGGATTAATGATAAGCGTATTTCTCTTTGAAAATGTATTACCTACTCCAATGACGAATAGACAAAGAAGGAAACCACTGCATAAAACTTTCTGCATTTGCTGAATTTTCGCTATAGGTAACCAAATGAACACATTTTGTTGCTTCGTGTATTGTTTTTTCCTTCCTCGGGTAACTTTAGTGCCCATTGTTTGCCGCATAGCCACTAAGGTTAAGGTCTGTGCGAAATGCTTCAACAAGCACCTTAAATGTACCCAATTACGAGCATAGAGGCAGACTGCTGTGACTTGTTTAGCTCAAATGTTGACCAACACTGCCGATCGCCCCAAAGCTCGAGGGAAGCAATCATAAGTGAACCTTGAAGAAGCAACGTGAAAGTTGAGACCACCAAAAATAATGGCTTGAAACTCTAGGAGAATTACGAAATCTGTATGAACTACTGATGAATGAGAAATGTTAACTGCTAATGCCACACAATCCCAACAAAACGGGGTTTTCCTCTGCTCACTCCGTCTGTATTGTAAATGAAACCAATGAAAGCATTTGTTTATGTTTCTAGTCTTCCGTGTGAAAACTTGACAAAATGGACATTGTCATCAAGTCTCTTGAGTGTTCCTCGAACCATTCGAGCTTTTCTTGTCATACAAAACATATTTGTAGAGGGGATGGGCTGCCAGAACATCAACTTAGTAGTGTCCATTTTAGATAGTACAGCCTACAGTTCACTACATCGAATGGCCATCACGATTGCGCGAGGCCGCCTACAAGGCAAGTCGCTTTAGCGAGCATAACGCAGAAGGCGACAGATCCTCCTCGCCAACCGGAACTGGGAGCGTGGCAGGAGTAGATAACCGTGCAGGATTGTCAACGCCAGTGGGTAAGTCAAGCGGCCGCGGAGAGCGTCGTGGAGGGGGCGTTGGAGGTGGAGGCATTCTGCGGCCAGCCTACACCTCCGACGCAGAGGTACTAATGCGCTCCGCTCGCGACAACGTCACGAGCCTGGAGGTGGCCAAACGTGCAGCCGTATTCACTGGAGGAGTGACATTCCGAACAGACGAGTTGTGTGACTTTATCGCTGTCGTCATTGGCACACCCTCCGAGACGGTGGCCTTCGATTCGGATGGGGGGCTGCTGCGCTCTCCCATTCTCCACCCGCTTTTCAGTGTGCGAATCCCCAAATTCGCATTCAAAAAGCCTCTCACCTCCACATTTAAGGTCAGTTCGAGACTCATTTTTTGCATTAATGTGACCTCAGCCTCTTTCATTCCGATATCATATGCACAAGTGGGTGAATGTATTTGAATTTTTCCATCAAGAGACTAGTAGCATCCAGCATTGCGGAGTTTCAAATCGAAGGTAAAACACGAATTGAGAATACTAAACGTCGATTGTAGCGCCTTCCCCTTCGCTCTCCTCGGCCTTAACTTCAGTCTTATGTGAAGAAAAGTGGTTGGGAGACTCATTGTAGGTACATTCCGCGGGAGTCGGGATGCAGCTAAGGTAAGCGAGCCAGTTCTGGAAAGCGTCCTCACACTCCATCCCCATAGCACCCAAGTTGAATTCGTGCCTTCCTCCCAAAAAGTACAACTTAAAAAAGAGTATGTATTACATCGATGATATCTAGTTGATTTGCTGAACTGACATATTTTCTGCAACACCCACACAAATATGAATTGTGGAACTGCAAAAATGAAGATGGATTCTGGAGCTGGTTTGGATGGATTTGATGGTGTGATGTTAAGACTATTTTATTGGGCAATTTCAATTGGCGTTACCTTTTATCGCATGCATTTGTACAAGGGAATCGACCTCTAATTATTCCCTACGAAGAATGTCAAAGTTGTGGGACTTTGTTAAGCGACGGAGTGGGAGGAGGGGGAAGGCGCTTAGAAACGGAGGTAGAAGACCTCAAGGAGCTCAAACCGTCCTCTTCACTAACTCATCTCAAATTGGGTGAAGTGTCGACATTCATGACTACATAGTAAATAAATTTAAATCATTCAGCCATGCCCCTGAACACTTGGTTGCTTGATCTCACATGCCCACAACCTACATTTTATGGTATCCTTCGGGCGAAAAAATGCTGTATTTGGAGGCCACGGAGTACCTCAGCTACCTTCAGGCCCATGAAACCCATTTAGTGCAAACCACTTCAATTAAGGGAAATGTGATTGAAATGGATCTTTTTTTACGATTGAATTTCTCATTTTTTTTTCCTTTTTCATTACCCGTTCAAAAGATAATTGTGATTCTGTGAACGGAACATTAAATTTACCACTTTGTTAGTTTTACGGATGCCGAATTCGAGTGCATCTAAAAGGATGGTAGGAGTTTGGAAAGGGCTGCGAGGTTTCCTGATGAGGCGACACAAGACCAGAAAATGCATTGCCGTGGACCTCGACGACGATCTGACGTCAGAGAAGCGTGTGTCTGCGGGACCGAACGGCATGGCTGACAAAGTCAGCAAAGTATTAGGGCGGCATGATTTGCATCACCCCACCTTTTTTTTTATTTTACCACCAAAGTAAAAAGGCACGGCTTTTCTGCTGTTAGTATTCTGTGGAATCTCCAAATGATTGAATGCTTTTCAAAAGTGAACCCCTCACCATTAGTCTGTGGTAACCGTTATGGTAAAGTAAGTTTGCGCAATGAGCCCAAGCGAACTCGACTTTTGCTTGTACAGTGTTTCCTTTAAGGTGCCACTCTTTTGAAGTGTGGTTAAGAAGATGGTTTGATGTGCCAAATTTTCCATCCACCCCTAATTATATAGGCTATACAAGTGCGCAAGGACCTGATGGAAGCCATTCACCATTTCGACTTGCAACTCACCGAGATCAACGAGTGTTCCAATATTTATGAGCTCGACTTGGGCACAGAGGCTTTTGAGAGGCCAGTGACGGTAACCTTACCACTACCCCTATGGTACACCCAAATGGTGGAGCAAATGCGGCAGCACCCTACATCCAATCCCTCCGGCGCGGAAGTCAATGATGGGGACGGTGGGGGTGGAGGAGCTGGCGAAATGATGTTGGATGTAGAGGAGAACAAGCGAGACAGCAAAGTTTATCGGTTAACAGGAGCTGCAGAGGGTTCCAGAGGAGGGAAGAAGGGGGACAAAAATATTGACCAAGACAACACTAATAATGAAATTCCTATTGAGGAGAGACCAAAGAACCTCATTCTCGTCTATCAGGTGAGCTATTTTACTGGGATATTTTCGTCACATCGTCTAGTGGGAAATGGCAGATTTTGGACTCAGGATTGCACTTGACTTGGGTTAGACGAATTTTATGCCGTTAAATCTTTATGATGAGGCAAGACTGAAGAACTGGAACGATATCTTTGCGTAGGTATGATTTTACTTAAAGGATAGTTTTTTCTGCCAAATGATCTAGCTTTGAGGCTGGAAGGTATTTTAACTATGTGGATCAGAAGCCGTTAGGTAATTAGTTGGTATGGCTTACGCAGCGACCAACGCTGAAGCGTCAACTAGTGTGGCGAGCGTCCACAGGCGATGCGAACAGTGACAACGCTGTGAATCGAAAGCGTCAGACAAAGTCAGGCAACTACCGTGACACGACCACCTCAGCAGTGCTTCGCGGAGACAGTCTGAACGCCAAAAATGGATGGATGCACCTCCTTTTAGGTCTCAAAGGTGCGCCCTGGAAAGACGTCCCCATCAATGGACCCTTTACTCCGCGCTGTCTGCAGATCAACACCTACCAGCTCGGTCGGTGAGTCCGTCTGTGTTGTAGCCTCGCTGCTGCTGAAAACTAATTTGCTCTTCAACTCGTCTGTTTGTGAAGAAGTCATAGCTCCGTCATCCAGAAGCCTGCAACTTCCGGCATTATTTAGTACAAGCTGTTAATACCGTGCCCAGCCTGAGAAATTTTAATACACAATGCGTTCAATAGTGTTTATAATCGTTCTAAAAGAAAATTCGTATGTAGATGTCGTAAACGAGGCAAAAATGTGAAGCAACGATAACGTTGCTGTTTACTATCTTAACTAAATATCCCATAGCAGTTATTGATGATGCTTTGTGGGCAAAGTATCCACGTATTCATTTGAATTATTCAACCCATTTCGACATCATTTTGGATGAACCTAGCTTTGCTATGGTATACTCGAACGATCCTCAGCGGACGCCGTCGTCGAAAGTGGCGCACCTGATGGCGCGTCTGGAGGCCTTGAGCGTGGCGCCGCCGGGCGTGCTGCTGCTGTGTCTACACGCAGACCCTTCGAGGGTCTGTCTGTGGGTGGACTGCGTGCCATCCACTAAACTTATTGCCACCATTGAGAATCGACTCAACGCCGGTTTTGTACCCCTTGTCCAGGCAGGTCCCGTTCTCAACCCCCTTCCACGTTCTTTTCTAAGCATCCTCGTTTTTTACAATCAAATAAAGCTTGGCAATGGATGCCCTGACAAGTGCCGATTTATGCATTTTTAAGGTACTTTTAATGTCCTGTCCTCTCGTTTGGGGCCCCAGTGATTGTGGAAGAAATTTAGTACAGCCACCAGTTTAATCGCCTCCCCAGTCTTTTGCACAAGCGGAGATTGTCAAGTCTGTTGATACGAACACTATCGAGTAGGAAGGTGAGAGGGCTTGAACTTGATACAGATTTAAGCATTCATCTAACTGCACTTAGCATCCCTTCTCAAAATCTTTGCCAGCAAGTGAAATCGCACTAGCTCGGTGATGTTATGGCACTGGGACCAGAAACCACGCCTCTCATCCACTTTTCCTCCTTTTTTCCCGAAGCTACTTTAAAGCCTACGTGTGTAAATTAGGCTGGAGATGTATGGATGCATCCTTTAGCTGATGTTTCTGGACCGAAATTTACTGTATTTCGTATATTCCCCAGGCAAAAGGCTTGTAACTAGTCAATTCAATCAAATCCAGGCGTAGCTGAGCAAAAGCCAAGTTAGCAGAACCAAACGGACACAAGTATTCGACTCGGAAGGCAGAGGTTGAGCACCTAACATCAAGTGATAGTGTTTTATAAGACAGTGATGGGAACTTTTGAATTATGAACTTCAAAAGTAAGGACTAGGGTCGATGTGGTACATGATACATCGGTCTTCCTGTTCATGTTTATCACGGAGCATTAAACTAATTATGCAAATCATCTTCGCATTATTTCTATCAAATTCGAAATCTTAAAAAGTACTTTCGCAACAATGCACAGTCTTTCTTTGCATGACATAAACTATCAACGCTATCCAACCGCGGAAGTCGTGTCACCGAACGGAATTGCAATTGCAAGATGTTAGGTGTCCGCGAGTAATCAGAGTAATGTATTACCCAACCTCTTCCCCTTGCGAGTTTCGTCCTCGGTGCTTGCCTTGATTAACCACCCGCGTTTGCCGTCACCACGCAGTCGGTGCCATAAGGCATGCGACCGCCATCCAATCGCTCCGATCACAAGATTTGCATACAACTTAGAGGATAGATGACTGCAACGTCACTGATTGCCATGGCGATTTTCCGCCAGATCTGTAGTATTTTTCACCTCGGAAACTGTGTTGGAGGACGGGGGTGTTAGTTATCTAATACATCTGCGTCTGGTCATAAAAACACTATCCTAAACTCAGAATTTTATTTAATAAGAGGTAAAATTCAAATTTATTTTGAGCGCTTAATATTCACCCTAATTTCACTTCCGTCTTGCCCATTTGCGTCTGCTCGTCTGAGCTCATATCCAACTAATGGTGAGGCGGAAGGTCGTAGAAATGCCACTTCACTATCGTCTTCAGGGGAGGATGATAGGCAGTTTCCGAACCAACTGTTCTCCTTTAATTCTTGTTCCACTTTAGTTGGTTATGGCAATTCTACAGAGCACGCTTTCCACGGCTTCATGCTTCTCTCCTGCCACATTTACGGTTGGTATTCAGTGAGAAAAATTGGGGTAAAAAGGGTTCTAAGGTTAGATTTGTCTTCCACTGCCACCAATGCAGGCATAACGCATGGTCAGAATGTGTGTTGTCAACGTGCTGAAGGTCTAAGAGGCGACTGCCATACCCCGCGCCAGGTGGATATGTAATCCTAAAGGAATCAAGAATCTGAGACATGAAAAACAAAGCTAAACAAACTGTCACGGCATTCCGCCTTTGTCCTTTCAAGAATGAGTTATGCTACTCAACCTCACCTCCCATTACTTCTTGCCAAAGTTTGCCATTCAGATGAAGTGCCTGTAATTGAGAATTGATGGCTACTTTTCACTCATCTTCAGTATTCTGTGGCACTGATAGTTACTTCCAAGTACAACAAAATGTTCTTATGCCGTTAAAAGATCTCCACTTCTCGAACCCCTTAATCTGCCTTCCTTGTGTCCCTCACAGGTGGTGCATACAAAGTGCGTTATTATGTGTGTCTAATCACAAAACTTTTTACATCTGAACTGCAAACCTGGCCTTTGCTACACTGACTCATTTATTTAACCGGGGCTTCTCTGAAAGTGTTGGAGTCAGTTACCAACCGACAATGAGAAGACCGTTGTGCAAAATATAGCGTTGGCGTAATATTATGCTTTTTTTTTCAAAAAATCACACCGCTCTGCATCCAACTGAGATCACCATTCTCGAGTGATTCTAATAGTTTGATTTACTGAAACTTAAAACGCCTTGTTGATTAGAGGGAAGGAATTTTACTTCCCTCCTCCCCCTTTATAGCCTTTCGGTTCTTTCCTGCTTCATTGAACGCTTTAACTTTAGGGCTCTATAGTAAAGAAATGTGCCTTAATATGTCAATAGAGGGTAATGCGGTGTTGCTTGTGGGGCATTATGCGTTGGGCAGTTAACTTGGTCTCACAAGCTGGAAGTTAGGGGAAGTCAAGCTTCCTGAGAGGAACAGCGATGAAAATGGTGGCAATATGCGAAATGCAGCATTGTTAATTTGAAGAATCGCACACAAGCCTATCACGGTGACACCGGTCTCGTCATCGACTTTCCCTCCTCCACCTATCGATTCCATGAAGTCAAGCACGGGACATCCTTCCATGTTTTCAATTTTAATTTGCCACCCTCCTTGTATGTAGGCTGTAACTTAGTGATGGAACAACTCCGTCGAGCAGTTTTGCACCTTCTACCGCGGTCACAATTGATTCGAGTTCTCCATTTGGATGTTAAAACATTTACAGACGAGTTGCCAGAGTTGGGTCTTAATCCATCTTAACAGAATTCACACAAGCTAAATCTCTTACCTCTTCCTATCTAAAATTGAGCATCTACGATTGGGAGCAATTTTGCTCGAGAAATAACGTTGACTTCAGCTTGACGCAAGTTTGATTCGAAATGGTGCTACATAAATTGCTTTTCCGCTCCCTTGAATATCTCTCAGTAAACATCAAAAAGTGAGTACCGTCTGAACATCACAGTTATGAATGGAAGCCTGAGCATAAAGCCCCTCTAAATCTGGTTTTAGAGGGACCATAGAATTCAAAAGTACGTCTATTTAGGCAAGTTTGGCGTGAACAAAACAATGTATCATATAATAGCTCATCCATAATAGGCGCTAACTTGCCCAACAGACGGAACTTGTTAAGCTTACTAGCATTAATCATCAAGGGAGAAACACCCATTAGTGTGAAGGCTTTTTATCTAACTGTGCTTATTGTCGAAAACATTTGTACTTTTTAGAGGACGTACTTTTCATTTGTCAAACTTTTAGAAAAAGTCGACCTTCTTGTTGGTCGCACTCTTTGTCAGATTGTATGAATATGTTGGAGCCTTCCCGTTTATCCCATTCTAATTCTATTGCGTACAATGTGGCAGCAAAATCAAACCTACAGCTCTAAGAACCACGCCATAGGTGGAATTTCATATTGGCAAAACCAGCCATACTACCTCCATGAAATAAAATGGCATGAAATGACACGATTTTAAATACTTGCCTGAACTATGACAAAACTCAAACCTGATATAGGTTTAATTGTATAGGCCTAAATTGTCCGTTTTCTTGCTCAAAGTGATACCTTCTTTGTTTGTTCTTGTGTTATAGTCGACGGCTAGCCCTTCGAGGCGGTGTGCGGCGATTGCAAACTGCGCCTATCAGAGTCTGCAATACTTACAATCTGTTTCCGACAGCCCTCCAGACAAATCTCCTGTGCGTTTTGTTTGTTTGATGCCTCTTCTTAATTGTAGCTTCCATAGGAAATCGATTACGTTTGTGCAAGCACAAGACGTGTGGTAAATCAATAGGGATGAGTCATCATCTTTCCCACGCATTCCAGAGAAGCGTGTGTTGTTTGACCCAATAAATAACCTGATCGTAACGGGGAGATTTCTCAAACGGAAGATGATTTGATGCCATAAGGAAAATATTGTCATATTTATAGAACATCAAAATCCTTTTTTGTGCCACTTTGCTTCAAAGCACGAAATGGTTATCTATTTATTTTGATTATACTATCAAACCGTAAACTCTACCAACTAAACATTAACAACTCAACTCGTATTGCAACCAATCGAATGTATGAGTAACCAAAATGAATAAGATAAACGTAAGTTGCGTAGAACAAAGATTTAGCATCCGAATGCAGTCAAAACCATCTATTTATCTAACGCAATTTCGTCTTACACTCCTCACCAGCCTTAAGTCTCGCGACTGCCGTAAGCGAAAGTTAGACGATTAAAGTAGCCAAGATAACTTGAATAAGGTTACAGATTCAAGTGTTATTAACGGAATGAATATATTGGAAGAAAATTATACTAGAAAACTTTCTGTTTATAGATTCCCATCTTTGGTACGTCGAAGTACCGACTGAGTGGCTTTGATCTGCTCCGCGTCCTCCTCTACAATGGCCTCTGTATTCGCTTGGTGATAAAAGGTCAGCTTCTACTTCGAACTCGTGGCCTATTTGACTGTTTGTTAACTCTCTTGGAGGCTAAACGGAGCCTCCTTCAGCAACAGCAAGCGGCCACTGAGCCCTCGGATGCCGCGGAAAGTTCTACTACCATCACTGCTTCACAAACGATTGCAGAGGAAGCAGCTTTGCTGTCCGGGAGTCGAGGAAACGCTACCTCCTTGCCGGGGGCTGATGTGGTACCACCAGAGCAATTCATCACTACTACAGAAACAAGATTCTCTTTTCATGAGCTCCTCAATGATGGTGCCACAATCATCGACTTAGAACCTCTCAGAGAAAGCTTTGCTCGTATGGCTCTCCAACGCGCTCGCAAGTAAGCCTGTCCAAGGAAGCTAAGTCACCTCAGGTGTCATTTTCATCATCTATCAGTAGATTTATAAAGTAGCCACAGAAATATCAGAATATCGAATTCCAAGATCAGCAGTCAGTATGAAAAGCTAAATGTGCTTTAGTGTTTATTTGCCATATTTGAGGCAGTAATTGAGTTTGTGTAAGTGGCAGAAGTTTGGGACGCGAAAAGAGAGCTGCTTAGTGGATGCACAACAATTAGTCATCTGATGCTTTGTTTTTCAAGTACAAGAAGCACAGAAGCACTTGTTTCGAATTAGGAGGATGGAGTGACATTTGGTCGTGTCTTATCGCCGTGCGTGGAAGTCACTTTGACATGAGGGCTACAAAACTAAATTTCAAGTTGCGCATAAATGTCATAACTACACAACCTCCGAGAAAAAGAATTTACTAACACAATTTCTGTGAATATGAGCCACGCCATCCAAGCATGTTCAGGCCTATGAATGTGCTTAATGTGGAGGTGTCTGCCAGTGGTTACAAAAGTTTGGACGTGGCCATAGGGGCGCTACAGACCCAGAGTCCCACGAAAAATTTCGGAAGCAATCACTGCGAGAAATGCATGCCGAGTTCTGGACAATATGGTGGGAGTTGAGGATTGTTAGTGTTGCGTCTAAAAGCATTCAAATCAAAGCCAGTGTCAAGTTTAGAAGCATGATTTTTATATAGCCCCCAGGCAGTTAACAAATATGAAAGCATAAAGGAAAGCGCTTAACCGCCTGCCTCTACTTATCCACCGATAACGGCAGATACGCGAAAGTGTTTTCGCATTACCTGAGACTCAATCTTAAAACATTATGCACCTTAAAACTTGGATTTCATACATTCGTTTTCCTTATTGGAGTGCAGACCACGACCAATAGCCAAACCAGGAGCCCAGGTTGTGGATGCCGAAGAGTTTAACATGAAAGAATTCAACCTATCATTTTTAAACCGCGCATACAAAGGACAACTCAGATTTGCTGTCTTTGTAACGAGAGACAGTTCTTTTTCTCAGAATAATTCGCCTTGAAGACGCACTTTTCTGATATCATGTCGTTGTTCAGCGTGTAGTGCCACAAACGCACAAACACTGCATCAAACCATTCTTTTGGGACTTTTGGGCTACCAAAGGAACTGAAGCAGAACTTTTAACGTGCTCTACTTTAATTTGTCTGAGATCGTCTAATGTATTGAGATTCCACTCCCCATCGAAGGGATCGCCGTATCTCTAAGTTCTCCATTGGAGCTCAACCACGGGAGGATGTGTTTGAGAGGTTTACACAGAAGATGTAGGCTAGTGAAATCCTATTCTGAGTCGATTTTAAGTGTCAGATGTAAGGGGATGGGGATAAGGCCGAACCTCTGTGGCATTAGTTTTCAAACCTCGGTACACTTTTACAGACAAAAGGAAAGCTGTATTTAGTTGCCACAGATGGTTTACCTCTGCGTGAATTTGTATTAGACAGTTTGTTCCGTGTGGGGAAATTCAGTGTTATTCGATAAATCTAAAGAGTAGTTAAGCTACTGTTATCCGAAGTTTGGCTTTATTTAAGCTATAATGTTCACTCACCAATTCCACTCATTACCAAATGCCCTCATAAGGCCCTTCTTAAAACAAATGAAAAGTTTAAAAATCCGACGTCTCCAATTCGAAGACGCAAGGGTTACTTCAAATCCGCCAAGGTTTTCTAGCCAAAGTGGTTCTCATCGCCTGAGTCGCCTACTTCGTTGCTGAATTGGATATTGTAACCACTATTAGTGTCAACCGAATAATCTTTAGTCTAAAGCGCACCTGATTCCAAGTCAGTTAGATAAGGGGAAGCCCTTCAGCATATTACTTTGAAATTGGCTTAATCCTTTTACCAATTATGCTGTTTCCACAATTTTGTTGCAAAGCGTTCTCATTTGTGGAAAATTGTTTTTGCTAGTGTCCCCTCCTCTTCGGCTAAAAACAACACAATTCATCACTTAAAATCACTTTACCATGGATTTTCTGTTTAGAACTAGCAGAATATTTATCTTAGACGAACAAGCACCTCACATTGGAGAAGGGCTTTCCTACTTTAATGTCTCCTCTTGGTTACATCAGTAGTAGTTCATCTCAAAATAAGGGGAATTTCGCCAACGGAGACACTGATGATGGGTTCCACTTTTGTGGCGTTTAGGTCCCCTCCTCTTCGTTCCTCGGTGAGGTTTAGTGCGAAGTTGCTCTACAGGCCGAGTCATCTCTTGGAGTTGATAAAATCACTAGCCGCTCAATATTTATTAAATGAGCTACAAATGATTGCTATTTCACCTGCACTGAAGGACTTGGCACGACTGTTTTGTATCAAATAAAGTTTCAACTTAACTACACCAATTCACAATTTATTATTTAATCAAATCCTAGACCCACCCTACCCCCACATTATCCTCCTCTGTCCGACACCACTAAAGCTTTGGGAATAACCTACTGGGCTGAAACCTTTACGGAGGACTGTGAAGGTCTGCCTATCGATTTTCTGTCCACTTGTCCTATAGGGAAAACTTAATCCAAAATCTCCTGAATCGTCGATTGGAAGAGCTAGAAGAAGCCAAAAGTTCAGAGACGCGGGCAGAAGGGGGAGAAGAGCAGGATAAAGCAGAGGAGAAGGAAGTGGAACATCAAGGTCATAATATCTACAACGCGTCTGATGCCGTGGATGACTCTTCTACGATCCTTCCATCTCTGCGGTTTGATGATTTCCAGTCTGAGGACGAAAGCGATAAGGAAGAGGAGGAAATAGTGGAGACGGCCTCAGCATTTTCACGGGAGTCACACAACGTTGAGCAGTCGAAGAGGCTGGATACGAAGGGAGAGCTAAATGAGGAAGATGAAGTGGAACTGGAAGAGGATGAATGGATTCCAGCCGGTGTGGATGGAGATGACGAAAAAACCACTATGGATACTTTAAAAAATCTCGTTGATGCTTTCTCAAACAAAAATGCATCCCTTCTAGGATTCCACGTCACTAAGGATCTGTGTCGTCGTCTGACAACCATTTACGATAAGGGACTGTCAGGTGGTGAGTTGACGTTTATTTAGGCTTCAAATATGGAAAGCACGGTAGTGAACACCATGTTTTTTTGTGCAAAGCGGTACTTTTATGCTTCTGATTTTCGTCTAAAGTCATGACTTTTGCTAATGGGGGGAAGCAGTTGCAATAGTCAGCTTATTTCACTTAGGAATAATTAGCAAAAAATTTGGCTTAGTAAGGGAAAAGAAAAATGAACAACTCAATTTGTTGGACGGTACAAATTAAATTTCTCATAGAAATATCTTAAGTAAGCACTAAAATGTCGTTCGTTTTCTACCAAAGTCCCGTACTTCTGCATACTGCCAAATGGAGTTTGCTGGTCCTTTATTGCAGAAACACAGCATCAAGTCATCTCAAAGTGAGCAAGCAGATGGCGTGTCCAAAGCATTGCAGCTGCTGAGCATCAAAAAGGCACAAATGGAATACTTTTGTTTGCTGAAAGAGAGCACTGCCGGTGGGACAGACAGTTGCATAAATGCCACTCGTGAATGTGAATGTCTCGCAGTTTTCCTCACCCTTTCCCGAGATTAAACTGTCTCCAAATTGGTCTCACTGAGCCAAAGTAAACAATCACAGGAGCTGCTCAAACCTTTTAATGCACCTAAACAGTAAATGGTCTGGTTTATTTTAAGGATTTGTTTGACGTTGATTTGTCGAAATTCCATCATGTTGGCTGAAACTTCGACCTCAATCATGCCTTGTTTATGGGTAGTCGGTTGATTGACATTTCATTCGATTTGGTGCTCAAATTGAGTCTGTTCGTCAAAGTTTCAGGTGTCGATTACGGTGCTGTGAGAGGTACTTCCAGTTTCTTTTGAGTACGCTCAAATTAAAACATACCACTGAACTAATATAATTTCCTAATTTCCGTAGCCCTAAATGAGACACACAGATTTACACTTGAAAAAAACCAAATCAGTTGTGTGGCGTGCAGAAACGCCTTGCGACCCAGACGATGGATACAATCTGAGCCTTCAACATTTGCCAAACCAAACTTAATGATTAAACAAATCGTCGAGTTAGTGGAGACTTGCACCTTTTGAACGTTGTCTTCGACATTTTACTGAACCCTTTGCATCAAAAGTCACGACATTGTTGACGCTATAAAGGAATCTTTTACGAACCGATTGCTCTGGTCATTTATTGTGCGGACAGCTAGGAAGGTACTGATCTCTTCTACCGACTCCACTATGCCCAAGATGTTAGCCTATTTGAGAACCGCATGAAGGGAAGAGGGAAAGCGTGTCCAAAAGTGGGCTCATTCAAAAAGGAACAGGGCCAAAGCAGCTCTGTGAGGAAAAGATGCCGTGTTCGTTGCTCTCTGCCCCTCAGACTCATTTTTTAGCTTGTACCCAGCTATTACAGAAGTAGAGGAAAGAGGGAGTTTTGTGTGTCTCCTCACAAATTTTTTTGTGCATTTGGAAATGAGGCCGAAAGCACTTCTTAGTTTCCTACCACTCGTTTCGACTATGATGCAATTGATTTTCCAATTCAGGCAGACGGCCACAACTATTCGGAAAAAGTGGATTTGCAGCCTAAATCTGCACCCTTTCCCATTCACATTTTCCTCCTGAATAAACTTAATGAATGGCTAGATGCTGCTAAACAGATGCACGTGGAAGTCATTTTTTTATATTTGGTACAGAGGCGATTGAATTAATTGACCGAGTGTACGAGATGTACGCGGTGGGACGGGTGGAGATTTACCTTGTGCAGCCCACGGATATGGCTCAGGTGAGAGAACGATTGGCAGAGGACGAAGAGCAGAAGGAGGAGGCGGAGGCAAAAATCAAGGAAACCAATGTCTCCAATCCCCTGGCAAGGATTACCCCGCTTGAAGATGACGATATTGAGAGTGCTGCTGCCAACGAGGGAGCCATTCTAGCGCAGGGCGTGGATGAGACAGCAGCGAACAACAAAAGCGACGTAAAAGTCAGTGGACGAAATCAGAGCAACATGAAGTGGAATAAAAAGGGAGATCCTTTGAATCCCGATGGCAGCATGCAGCAACCTCTCGCGTCCTATGATGTGAGTTCATACTTTCTGCTACTGTCTCGAAAAACACTTTTAGGTAGTCTATCCATGAAGTTTTTACCTTCTAAAGAGAAAGACAAAAAAAACTGTAGCACGACATCCAAACAGAACCTGAAACACTAGGTATAAGGACTGAAAGGTGACTCCCCTTTGTTGTAATGTTGGTGGTGCATCCACGAATTTGGATGATTGCTAAAATCGTGTGCCGCCTGCTGAAAAAGTATTCCACAAGAGGCACATTGCGCTACTGGTTGTCATTGCCGCATGAATGGAACATTGTGACCCGCAATAATGCTTTCAAGTAATTGTAATCGAAACCGTTTTGTCACTTGCCTAAGGTTATTCAAAGTGGCGGCCGAAGTGAGACATCGGACTAGTAAAACCAGAATTCAGAGCCTTCTAAGATGAAACCATGTATCACTTCCACCACTACGACAGTCGACACATTACATAATACATGTCTGATTAGAGAAAGGCCGGGGAGCTTCATATTCGACTTGACAAATCACGAATATGCTCGATTATTGTTGTTAGACTTCCGTAGTCTGGGACAATTCTTGGTGCACAATCCCCATAGGAAGGAGACCCGAGCCATGCCCTTCGATTGCCCTGCACACGAGCGCGTGTGTGGTGTGAAAACACACTTCCTTCACCCTTTGACGTTTGGTGACGTTTAAACTCACGTTCAGGAGGCTTCCACTGATGACCAGCTGTGTGATCTCCAAGGTCATATCACGCAAATGTATCAAATTACAATTAACAATTCGCGCTTGGAGGATGTATTGCGTGGTTATACAAATGGGATTAAATTAAAGCGACTCCACCTTAACTTTTAGCTATTTCGCTTCCTCCTCTAGCTGCTCATCGAACCGGAGTTGTTCATGCGACTGGTCCCCAAGGCTAAGAAGGGAGCCAAACTCTCCTCCTAATCAGCATTTGATAGACTTTTCAGGTAAGCTTTCCATTATTGCACAAATGCACCGTTTCCAGTATCGCAGGGGGACTCAAAATATGTTCCAATAGAGTTGATTATTAAAAAAATAACAGAAGTATTCCAAAATTTTACAACTCCAGTAGGGAAGATAAAGACAGAGGATGTGACATGTGACTGTTGCTAACATACCCAGCAACCGCTAATGCTCATGACTGAGCAACTCACTAGGCCATGAAACAGTCACAGAACGCAAGACTGCACGCCGTTAAGAAGCGCACATTCGTCCAGTTATCTGTCTTAAATTCTTCCTCATGGCACCGTTTATGAGTAGTTTGAGGAGCTAGAAGGTGGTCATATTGGTTTAACTAGGACAGAGGCATACAGGCGTCCAGTTGAGGAAAAAATCTGGACATGAAGTGGCTTAATGCGACTTGTGTCGTCCTTGTGCATACAAGCGTTAGGTTAGATTAAACACTGGAGGTTAACATCACAGAAAGGAGAACAACGAAAGTTAACTTTGCTTGAAGTGGATTATCTCAAGGCATTCGTCTTATGGTCATAATTTGTGACCACCACTCCTGCCCACTCACAAAACTTCCTGCATGAGATAGTGGTGGGAGAAACTTACCAGCATCATCAAATAAAAACCCAAACTGCCTAAACATCTACTGCATTGATGTCGGAGTTGTGAATCAAAACATTTCAGACAGTTTCCACAACAATGCAACCTGCTGAAGAACAAACACTCTAGGAATGAGTGAGTACCTTCTCAAAACCCACCTGGTGAAGGCATTGCTGCAACCAATCCATTGGAAGTGTCAATACCATTTTATAAATAATATCCTACCAGACTTAGGAAAGTTTTCTTCATTCCTCCAATGACTGGCACATTTTACATAACTTACGTTGTCTACTTAAATGGTATTTAAAATGGGAAGCCTTTTTCTCCTCCATTTAGGTTTACTCGGATAAGAAATCCAAAGTTCTACAGCGTTGGTGTAGGGTGATCCCCCATCCGGGTTAGTAATCTTGCCTTCTTCCCGACTCTGCCTTCACTTTGACGTTGAGTGTTCAAGTTCAAAGGATTTAAAGTTCCAGTCGAAGCTCAAACATGCGTTAATTCACAAAAATGTCCACATTTGATGTGCATGAGCCTAAATAGTGAATATTTCCATCAGATGAGGCAGTTGTGAGTTAGATGTTAACATTTGGGAGGGACAACTGGACACAGTCCCTCTCCCAGTTGTTACTTAGTGTTTGGTATTTCGACCACTATCTTTCCGCAGGTAATTCTAAAAACCTATGCTGAGGCGAGAAGGAATGCAAGATGGGCCCTGTGTGACCTTTAATTCTGCGGCAAACGTCTCTAAGCCAATCGAAGTCAACTCGGTCGAGGACAACATCAATAGCTCCAAACGATCCACTATAAAGCAACTTACCAGAAATCTTAAGTTTTACCAAAATGACTCACCTGAAAAGGTGATGAACTTTCCGTAATCCCAAAGTGAGCAAAAAATAGATGTCAAACATCATATCTGATCACGAATTTAGAATACAAAAAAAGACGCATCATCCAGTATAGTTTAAAATAAGTAAGGTTTCGCGGCTTTCAGTCGCAAATAGGAAGCCTCGTTGCATAAAAAACCAGTACCTTTCTCACCACTTAGGAGTCACTAATGAAGAACGTGGATCCATTCCTGTCAAGTTGTGGTCACAGAAACCGTTTACTTTGGTAGCAAATTCAGTCCGAGTGGCACTGACACTCGATGGATGGAGTTGAGTTGCAAATAGGAACGCATATTTATCAAAAGAAATAATTGCACAGAGGCGATTCGCTTACAGGAGAAGATCAGTGAGAAGGAGGAGGACAAGAAAACATTAACTCATTTCTCGCGAATGCTACATACGCGCAGACTCGCGGAAAGAGAAAACGAAAGTTGAATGAGAAAGCGATGCGCAGAAGAGGACGAGAGTGAGAGATGAAAATATGAGAAAAAAAAGGTAGAGACCACTCTTTTGTACAATCGCTGATAAAACATGGCCGGGCATGAGTGAAGTAGGCAATCCCTGGAATGGCTCTTGCAATCTGGTACAATTGTCGTGGACCCTTAATTCTCAGAGCTACCGAGGGGGCTGTTGGGCAAGAGAGTCGGTGCGGTTCCACCACCGCACAAGTGGCTCAGCCAGAAAGACCACCAGAAGAAAGACCAAGAGGCAGACGTTAAGTGCGATCGCAGAACCCCTGCGAAACAAAACAAAAGGTATCAGTCTGCGTCAAACAGAGTGAATGCTCATGGTATTCACAGAGCACGCACCGGTTGTTGGTCACAGTGGCGCCAGCGTTCAGGAAACGAATGAGCATTTGAATGAGGGTGGTGACGAAAGCAACGAGAGAGACTACGAGGTCTGTTAAAGTGTTGGCAATCGATCGCAGCATCTGTGGTTGATCCCGATCAAGATTCAACAGACGTTCACACTTTTCCAATATCATTACCTGAGGAGAGAAGCAAGAGGGTAGTAGCACCACCTTTGCAATGTAGAGAATCAAACCAACTCGCCTATTGAAACCTGTCTCAAATGACATGCTCTTCAACATCTGATTGGATGACGGTTCTGTCGAGTACAAAGTAATACACAAACAAATCTACGACCACGCTTAAATGGTAATGACAGGTTTAAAATTCACGGAAGAGCATTAGCCTTCAACTCATAAATAACAATTTAGGGCTTCAGGTAGATATGGTTCGCAAAAGATAGAACTGGTGGCAAAAAAATGGGGAATACATTTGTGAAAGAATCCCTCCGATAACATGAGCGACTTTACCGAGTGATAACGTACATAATGGGAACGGTGGATCCAAAACCTACGGCATTAAATATACAGCGCTCGGCCTCCAACCTGGTTCTCTTTTGGTCTTGAGCTCGATAAGAGTCAGAAGTCAACACTGAAGCGTAAACAATAGGGGTAAGGAAGATGATCGTGAGATATTCTTTCCCTGGAAACAGGTGATCCTATGTCAAAGGTACACCCCAAACTTCAAATGTAATGCCTATTGAGCAATGCAACTTTTCGAGTTCTGCTTTTGATCACAAATTAGGCAATTACAAGGTTAGTATCAGATTCAGTGAATTGCTCTTATGCAGAAAAAATGTGCTGCTTTTCGTTACCTTAACACCTATTACCCACTTCAACTCGCAAACTAGCCATCAAAATAATTTTTTCGATTAAAATGATGGAATTGAAGGGAGGGAAAGGGGATTACTCCACAACCTCAAACATTCTCAAGTCTCTGCCAACCAAGCATTCAATTCGTCGGAGGTCCGAGTTGCCTAAGCCACGTATTTCACTGAATGGCAGGGCTCATACTCAGGAGAAAGAAATGGACTTCTATGTAGAGGTAATTCGAAAGTGACATTGTCTCGAATGCCTCATATCAAATGGCATTGAGATGATAGTCAATGAAACAACCTGCACATGAAAAGGAAGCGGTAGATGAGGAAGACAAATAAAAAAGGAAGAGAGGCGACTTGAGCCAGAAAGTTAGACCTATTCTCAGACTTGAGACCCAGGAGAAAATGGACTTTTACTGCATAGTAAATTGAGGCGGAGGGAGCATCAAGGAGTAAACACAGAAGAATGCACACCTTGTTACTGAGTGTGGTAAACATGTCACGGAGGTCACGAGTCTCGGTGGCCAGTTGGTAATTAAGAGGCTCAAGAGCATGTTTTTGCTCGTTGCGTATTACGATGAGGTCCTGCTGGACGTTCTGCCGTAACTTCTCCGCTGAGGCATCCAACTGTTCTAGTCTCGCTACTGCGTCCACCAACTTTTGATTCTGCACCTCCTCCTTCGTTTGCATGTCTCGCTGTCAAGGTATACACAGAGGAATAGGATAAGTGATAATAGACTGATGGAGCTTTTCAGTACAGACACTTAGCCATCCAAAGATTTTGCACATTTAGGCCATCTTCCAAGTATTTACAGACGTCCTAATTCGTTTGAAGGCCCATAGGTTACCGTTTTGTCAGTGACAGTTGTCAATATCCCATCAAACCTGGTGGCTTTAGCTCGACCAAGTCAACTTGTAAGCCTTGGAGAGTGACAGGGAACTTGGCTAGGTTGGGGTAAGCAAGGGGTGCAGACGACAGGTCATTTGAATTGTGTATATAATTAGCATGAGTGTCCCTGAGGTTTCCCTCAGCTTTGATTGGCTCAAACGGCAATGTGATATGTGAATTCCACTTGCGGTGGATTGGGCACTATGTCAAAATTCCATAAGACAAGCTTTACGGACAGCTAAATAAGCAGTGACCCACAATAGAATGACAACCTCGACAATCTCAAGCGCTGTTGTAATGTACCACCAAGATGCAAAGACTCGATACCTTCCCTACGTTGTTTTGAGGTGAATCCTCCCACAGACAAATCAAACAGCGAGGAGTACCCAAGCCCAATTTCAACCCCACAAACTGCGGGAAATGATAGCATGAGACACCAAAGAATGTAATCAAAGATTGAATCGCTAAAATTATGTCTTCGATTCTAATTTATTTGTTGAAAACGCATTACCTATCTACTCCACGTTACAATTTGCGAGCAGCAACACACTATTATGTCCAAACCTGTCAGTCAGAACGTCCGACAGAATAGTTCCGCACCCTTTATCAGTGTGCTTCGACAGAAAACTAACCTCAAACACCATTCTTCAAACAAACCAGGTTGCATAATTACCTTTGATAACAAGACAGCTATTTCCCAGACTCTTCTATCAAAAGTACGTAACTTGCCTTATTAGCGATTAGGGTGTCTGGTGTAGAGCGGGATCCAGCCCACAATACTGGCAATTTTTAAATGATAAGCACATAATTTAGAGAATAAATGGATGAAAAGCAAGGAGATGTCATTGATGCTGGCTTAAATGCATCAAAAGTTCTTAAAACTTAGGATAGAGGATCAAAGCTCTGAGACTCCATGCAGAAGAGTAATTCCTCAATGTTTTATCATATTATCGCTCTGAGAACTTTGGCAAAACTTTTGCTTACTAAATCCGTCAACACAAAACAACGAACAAAAAGCAAAAGGATCAAAGGATTCGGTGACAAGTTTTTCACTGGCTACTACGCGTGGCTTGTCTACGTGCTAGACTGCTTAGTGTCATTTTCTTACAAAATAATCTGACATTTACTCGGGAATTTCAGCTATGCATGAGAATTCCGGGACGCAGTTAATTTTAACCAGGCTGAAGCTCTTTGTGTAGAGGGTTAAAGGAGACGTCAGTGCGAAACTCTAAAAGGGCCGAACCAATTGAAGTGCTGGAAAATACCAAATATGATCATATGGAATGTTAAGTTATCGAAGAGGAATAACAATACTTCGCTTCGCCTGTTTTCCTGGAAAGATTCTATAACCATTGCTAAGGCTTTTTGCAGGCAGAAGAAATTCGTAAATATTGGCCTCATGTTTACGATAATAAACAGTTATCACCAATAGTGTAAATGAAACCTAGCGTACGATACGCCAAAAGTAAACCCTTCACACATAAAAATGAAGGCCCTAGAAATGGTACTCGTTTGAGATTTACAAAGTGCGCACACACTTTCTCAATGGAGGAACTATCACTCGAAGCTTACTTGCAGAGCCTCAACTTCTACCGTGATAGAGTTCACGATGTTGCGCGCCTCTGTTAAATCCAGTCTCAAAATACCAAGCTCTTCACGGATGTCTGAAGTAAGCTTTTGTTGCGCCTCTGCATGCGCCTCGAGGAGAGCTTGAATCCGTTGATGAAGCATTACTAGTGCCATAGCCACATTGTAAGCAGACGGAGGTGAGGAAGAAGTGGAAGGAGAGAGTTGTAACCCCCCACCAGTACTCCCTCCTGCCAATCCCATACCCACCGCCGACGCCCCATTTGTTGCAGCTGCAGCGGCACCGTTGCCTCCTGAATGAGTTGAAGCACCACCTGAGGAGGCGACAAGAGGGTTGCCGAGACTCCCTTTCTGAAGGCCGAAAAGAGCGGCGCCAGAGCCCACACTGCCCCCATAGAGGACATCGACTACATCGAAAACTTTTGAAAGAGTGGTATTGGCAGTTGATGTTTCTTTGACCTGTTGACTGGACGACTGCAGCGGATGGGGATGTGTAGGCGGTGAAGAGGAGGAACCGACCGCTCCGCTCCTCTCGCTACCCGCTCCAGAGGTAGCTCCCGACTCACCCATCTGATGTTGATGATGAGGCTGTTGATGCTGTTGTGAAAGGCGAGAGGATACAGAGCCTGTGTGACTCTTCTTGATGCCAGTGGCATTCGCCTCCTGAAGTAGTCATTAATACGAAAAAAATACCATTGAATGGGACATTACTACGTTCCAAAGAAAAATTCTAACCCATGAAGACAGTAGTTAATAGCTGTGAAGTTGCACGCAGACACCATTTACCAGGAGCCACATCAACACGCGATGACAAACCTGCCCTAAGGCGTGTCGAAACAAGAACCAACTGAGAATGCATTCATCATATGGCTGAGAAAGAAAATAGAGATCCTAGTGACACCCTCATTCCAAAAGTAATATAATAAACACCCTTCCTCATTGCATGGTTGAGTTATGAAGTAAATGATGGAAGGGTATGAGCATTAAATGTTAGGTTTATTTGTTCGTGGACGCCGTTCAGAGTTGAAGTTACCTCACCGCACGAATTAAACATGACAGGATGATGATGCCAAAGCTCCATTAGATCATATGCTTCCTCGACGTTTTAGTGGAGCCAAATGAGTCGAAGATTTGGCCCACTTAGGACACAACTGCTAAGCATGCAGAGAAAAGCTACAATTTCTCATTTTATGACACGAATGAAATCTCTAACTCGTAAAATTTTTGAAGCATCCAAATAACGCAAACAAGTTGACTAGACGAGAGGAACCGACAATTGGTGTGAGCGTTTGCCTAATGATACAATGAGAACAAAGCTGTACTTACATCCAAACGGAGCCCCACAGATTAAGCAATGTCACGATCTTCCTTTAACCATTACCTCAGACAAGTAAGCACATAAATTTGGCATTTGTCTTGCTATGTTGAGAACATGACTGCAGGATTTCTTACACACTAATAGACTGAAAACTGAGGCAAGAAAATTTCGTTCCGCCAATTGATGTTAATCAAATACCTGCACTTCAAAATTCATGACACGGATTACACTTAAGTTGATTCCAGAGGCAAAGCAACGATGTGAGCAGCCTATTAGAAATAAAGAGATGGAACATTAGAACCGTATGAGCTCATAGAAAGTAGGCTGAAAATGCAGTAGCATTACCCCTCCGAAAAAGAAGCACTACGCAGTTAACAACCAAGGATGCAACAAGACGCTCACCCAATGTGAGAGATGGTCAGTACCACTGCTGCCCTGTTTGTTTGATTTCTTCCATTTGGACGGCGCGGACGCACCGGTGCTAAGGACAAGAGGATGAATCTAACTTACTCCATTCAAATAGACCATAATTATCAGTTACAACAGAGCTAACAAGTATCTACTCAATTCCTACGGTCTGGACACCCATGCTTGATATAACCTCGTCAATTCTGCATATGCTCTAGTAGCAGCAAAACCAGTGGCGTAAGGTCTTCTGTATTGATGCCTCAGAACCGGGCAGCAGAAAACGGAGCCGCACCATGAAGCCATTTATACATGACGATCGGCATCAGCTAATCCTCAACCCCTAGTTGCGATTGCCATGGCCTTAAACTGCTTCCATAGACCGCCAAAAGATCCAAAAGACACTATCTTTGTCCAAGCAAGAAAAACGTTAAAACAGAAAAAGTAGAATTAGTTGAGTTTTTTCTCAATACTTCAAACGAATGAAATGCACTGATTTCAAAAACGGCTACTAATAATACATACAAAGCAAACTTATTACGTGAGGGTAGGTTGGTTTCGATTAAGTGAAAAACATACTTCGGACTCAGTGGCCAAGCATTAAGTGTGGAGGGAGCCTTCTTGGACTTCGAGGAAGCATCATCTGTCGGAATAGAAAATTAAAATACGTAGAGAGTTGACAAATCACGCAACTTAGTAGGGATGTGGTCCCGACATTATTAAAAGGCTGATGGTGCAAAAAAGTGACCTCGAAGATCCAAAACACTAATCTCATACGCAACCCAAACCATTTGCTTCTGTGACGAATAAGAGGGTAATAAAGATCAAAGGGAGTGGTTTTGGTACTTCAAACAGCAACACAGAGGGCGAGCAGACCAGTCGTAATAACCGCGATGACGAAAGGATTCAAGAAGATAATAAAAGGGAACAGATGTAGCTCAGCATTTTGGCATACCTTAATTTGCATTTATGTGGGGCTATTCTGAGTTCACTTTACAGATTAGAAAGATTCCCAAAATATTAACAATCACATTTGGCGCATGTCAAACGGTGGGTAAGCTGAATGACCATTAAAAGTCAATTAAACGTGCTGTTTGTCGGTGACCAACGGACTCAAATGTCAGGCTTGACAGCAGAAACAGAGATAGAGGGCAAAAGGCATGGAAGGCTAAACTCATTCCCCATTTTATCGGGTTGAACAAACATACACAAGTTATTGTAAACAAAAAAAGGGAAACTTTAAAAGCGAAGACCAGAGATTACAGAGTAAAAGCAAGAGAAAAACCCAGTCTTGATAATCACTGTGGTGAAAAAAGACACGTGGCAAGAAAGCGGAAGGACTTTTGAGTGAGCAGCGCAAAGTAGCCCATAGACACATCAAATGCCACATATAAGAGGGGTAGCATTTGGCGTGACTTTATTTGGAGCTACAAAATGATAGGCGACTTAAATGTTCGAAGTCATACAGCATCGAAGATGAGCACTTTCACACGCCATGTTGCCTCAGTCAACAACATTACTAAGAAAATCAAGAGATGAATACGAAATTCAATTTGTTAGGAAATTTAATCTACATCAACTTGAGACTTAAAATGATCTAAAGAAAAGTGCCAATTTCATAATTTACCAAGGCATAAACTTGTCTCCAAGCTGAAACAAGGAGTCCAACGGCTGCACTAGTTGAAGTGATGACGCAAAACGATGCAAAATTAAAAATGATAGATAAGTAGACTGGTATTAGATTATGGCAACTGGTTATTTCGGTTAATAAACCATGGACAGAAAGAGGGCAAACTTAAACTTACTGAGAGCGGTAAATGCAGTTGTCGTACGGAGGTGCTCCTCGCTGGCTGACTTCTTAAGGGTCGGTCGGGAGGACATGTCATGCACCTCGGATTTCCGACCAAAAGGCTTTGTGAAAAGCCTTGAAGACAAAACAAATTAAGTGCGGGTGTATGAACTGAGAAACCCACGATCGCTGCACCTGTGAACCATTTGCAACTCATGATGGTATCAGGTTTCCTCTACTCTGATCAGTTAGAAAGTAGAATCGGAGGATCGTCAAGATAACTCCTAGTTTAATACGCATGGATGTGGAGTTAATGTGCCCATGACTTTTCATGGCAATAGAGTGGTGCAATGAAAGAATTTTAAGAGTACTGCACATTTGTCTTATCATCAACATCACTCAATCTCATTCATTATACATCGGAAGATGATCGGAGAAAAAGGGCATAAGGGGAAAGGATTACCTACCAAGGCAGACAAATATTCGCAAAAACAAACCTCGATAACTAATTTGTCCTTCTAAGACCAACTAGAATATAAATAATGAACACGGTTTTACCACAACTCCACGTTAGAAAAGCTGGAACGAACTTAACGCTACGCGACAAAAAAAAATACTCAACAAAGGCAACAATGCACCTTTGTGTCTTTAAAATGTTTCCTCGCAAAGGAGCCGATTACAAACACTTCTATTGAGGGTTTCAAGATATCAACAACTAGCCAAGTAGACTAGGCCGTTAGGAAAGTTTAAAAAAGGCAATAAATCCTGTTGAAACAAATGTAGACAAAGGGATTAACAATACAACTTCCTTTCAAGTGCAAAAAGTGATGAGTCAATCCGATTTATATACCTTTCAAACCATGAAGTTGATGAAGTTTAATCCAAAATAAACCTCATGTGATCAGAAAGCCTTTATTAACCTCCCAGTCATTTAACGCGATACTAAATCGGTACCAAATGTATCATGAATTAAGCATGCCTGATCGTGGTAAGCGCAAACGAAAGAGCCTTACTCGAGACCATGCTTAAGTGCGCGTTTAGCAGAGATGCGGGGTTTCTTGGCAGAAGAAGACCGGTGCTTTGACGGCTGACTTGTAGACGTCGATGAAGACGGTGGTTGCTGGGACGGTCCAGGGTCATCAAGAAAGAAATGGGCAGATAGAAACTGGTCCGAGCATCCACTAACAGGGCGTTGGTCGCCAGGTACACCCAAGGAAGAGGTAGAAGGATGTAGTGGCTTGATGACCCTCGCAGTAATGGTGGCAACGGTTGACTCCGAAGGTACACTCGGCGGTTGTAACACCGGCAGAGTGTGCGATCTTAATGGCTTGGAAGAGGGAGGAGGAGGAAGTGCTTCTATGTTGGTGCTGTTGTTTGAGGGAGAACTGGAGCCCGGCTTGGAGGGAGGAAGAGCAGAGGAGGAAAGGAGTTCTTTCTCTTTATTCACCTCTTCTTGTTGAGAGTGATGACCTGTCATGGCTTGTAAATCTCCCATTGGGATGGAAGGAGTCGCCGAAGTGATGGAGACTGAGGTATCTGAGACCGATAGAAAGCAAGAAATTTACAGCATCCACTTTTGAAAGCCAGATAAACATAAACTTGCAAATCAGGCACTTAAAGGGGCTCCAAAGCCAGAGTTTAAGCATGGCATGATGAGCCAGTTAGAAAATCGTAGAGGACATTTACCCCGAGAAATTTCAGATACACAAGCGATAATAAAATAACTTCGATGAGTTATTACAGAGGTAAATACTATGGTACACGCCCATCCTCAGGATGGGCTGAGAGGGGAAGTGCGAGGGGAAATGTTCTTCATGCTTCTCGCATTTACGATCTATGAGGTACCTGGTGTGGAAGCGCGTTGCTAGGGCTTGCTCACTAGTATGCTCCCATATCACTATGGGAGATTGCAAGCAAATGTTCAATGGCGATATTTTCACGACACTGAAAGCCGCGTTGCTTCACTGCGAAGTTGGTTAAAATGACGATCACGAGTTGTATGCATATTAGAGCCTGTGACGCCAATTTGGACGAGTCGTATGCGCAGGAACTTTAAATTGAAATAGCTGTCTCAGATAATACTGGACGATTACCGACCACAAAGGCTGCCTAACAAATTGCTTTTGGTAGTATGTCAAAACCAAAAGGTTGCTACACGGACATCGCAAGTTGTACACTTTAACCCCACAGCTAAGATGAATATGCGTCCACGGTTGTTTAATCAAAGATAATGTGGAATTTAGCAATATTATCCTACCATCGATGAAATTATTTGTGCCTGAGCGCCTCCACCCGCCTAACAATGAGCTACGCGTGCCCCACCTAATTTAATAGGCCATGAACACCCCGCGTCTTGGTGGGGTCTCTCCCAGAATCGCAACTTTTTAACGTTTTCAAATATAAACCATGGAGATGTGCCGTAATATAACAATGAGAGACGTAACAGTGGCTCACAAATCTGATCAACAAACCTGTAGTCTCGACGGGGGCAGCAGTGGAGGAACGCTTAGATGACTTGGTGGGGTGAGAGGGAGGCGTAGTGGCAATGATGGAGGGGGTGGAGGCGGAGACGGCCTTGACGGGCCGTCCAACAGATTCGTTAGTATGCTGACCTTCCAAATGAGAAATGACCAGGCGCTTTTCCGAACGAAGCGCTTCTAGCTCTGCCTGACGCTGATTCAATTCGGCTTTGCGGCGCTTGTAAATTCGCTTAATTTCACCCTCTGGCAATCCACCTTCTTCTCCTCCACCCCTTAGCGTACCATCATCGCCAGCAGGAACCAGCATTTGCTCCAGAAACCAATCGTTGAGCTCTATCCACAAATGTTTAGCAAAAAAGAGGGAAGTTTATTAGTAGAGATGAGAAATTGAGGAACTAGCAACGTTAGAAGTTGGATCAACATCAATAGAAAAGCTCTGCAAATAGATGATGAAAAAAATCACGTGGTCGCAATCGTGAATCAGCTACCTCAAGATCTGGTTGGGAATTTTGATTAGTTAGGCATCAAACTGATAAGTTATCTTAAAAACACATCCCAAACAATTATTTTCAAAAAGGTAACTATTATGTGCTTTTGAATCCATGATCTTGAGTTGCCACATCTCAATTGGAGAACACCGTTAGTACAGCTGGGAAGCTGACAGGTTATAAACGCATTTGGCCCATGATAAAATCCGCTAATCTCGTCCTGGGAGGCAACCCTTCAGATATCTTTGAATGGAGTGGAAATCGATGGGTCAGACCAATGGGAGCTAACATTGTGACTGGTGAAAGTTACCGGGACGGAGGACCTCTGCAAAGAGGGAAGGTGGTAGTAAGTTCGACCCTGACGAGGGGAGTAGATAAAAGAGGAACTTTATATGTTACCCGTAAATCCATATAGAACAAAATAGGTTGACAATCATTCAGGGACAAAAATTCCGTCAGCACACCCCTTGCAAGATAGAGAGGATGATGAAGAAGCAATGCAGCTCTGCTGCAGGAAGTCTGGCCCTCAAATCCCCTGCTAGCCAACAAGAGATTTGAGTGCTAGATTGGAACCCGATAATACAAAAATGCACAAGTGGCAAAACTTGGACCCCCACTTTGGTACTGAATATTTACAACTTTAACAAATCTGATTGCTAATGTGGACGAAAGTAGACTACCAAATCAGAAGATCAGAAATTAGATTGCAGCACAACCATTAGAGGGTCAAACGACAGCGCAATATTGCATTCAGACCTTGTGTGTCTCGCTCTTTGAAAAACAACCGATTCAAAATTACACAATTTGTGTGAATGGCAAGCATGGTTTATGGAGCCAGTGGAGCATGAGAAAAGCTATGCATAATCATTTACTGTCTACGCCACCCACGCTTTCGCAAAAATGTGGTTACAGAGCAAGGATGGCTCAATAACTCTTCTCCATGAAAATCGAATTGCGTATTGTTTTATTGAAGTTGCATTTTAGAGTAAAAAACAGTTTGCAATGCTACATGATACACTTAAACTTTCAGAATTGACCTAAAGACGCTGTCACCCCAAGAAAGGCGAGCAAAGTGGTATAGGGCACGGATGAAAAATCAGTGCCTCAAAAGGATAGATTGAAGCAGGAAAGGATTCTATTAAGCTACTAATGACCAAATTTTTGCCACATTTGTGGACATGAAAGCAGTAAAAAAATGGAATTATTTGCTGATGAATTCACTACTACCACTCTGCAGGAAGCAGAAGAGCTAAGGTTTTAAGCGGTGCATAATTGGATAAAGCATTGTTTCAAAGAAGACAACGAGAATCAGTCCCACTCAAAATGCAATTCACAGAGGACTGTTCCAGCTAAGAACAATGGTGGTCAAAAGAGAATGTTGGATTTTGCGAGAATGAGAGGCCCAACGTTTCGCAGTGGTAACGATGGGAAGTGAGTGACAAACCATCAAAATCTAGCGTCATCTTACGTGTGAATGGAAAACTAAGAGAGACCAATTATAAATTTCACAAACCCAACAGTGTTTATATCAAGGTTTTGTTAAATTCGGCCTATACGGACTCTGTGAATGCATGATTCATGGGTCTACTTCGCATGAGGCAGTTATTGCAACTTTGTATACATAAAAATTCTGGTCATATGAGTAGTAAACGTCTACATGAGCAGTGAGTTCACTGTGTAGAAGTAGATATCGAGATTTGCAAGCGAAAAAATGAGAAAACCTGGGGAAATGCAAGGGCCGATCAATGTAGACATGAACACGAAGGTTTAATGTAAAGAAGGATTTCGAAAATAGGGGAAGCTCCTCGACTATTTAAACTGATGATGGAAAACCGTAAGAAACGCGGTTAACACTCACAGATCAAAAGCGCCACTCTACACCGTCTTAACCGATTTAAACCCAGTCTAGTTCTCGTTGCGAAAGGCCCTGTGCAACTATGGTCTGTTAAGACATAGTAAAGAACTCCTGTGTCAAGCTTAAATGAAAGTTAATTCAGTTCACACACGAAGATGGAGGCTGGCCTAACTAACCACACATAAGCTATGACGACACTCCTCAATTCTTTATAAACGAGGTCGTCATCTAGCCGCAACTGGTAACGACACAGTTACCAAAAAACATCCACTCAATTGCTGGCTACGATGGTTTAATACTCGCTACACAGAAAAGAATTGAAGTTAAGAATGAAGTGAGCACATTTGATAGGAACAAAATGTAACCACGAATTGTATTTCTTCTGTTTACAAATATGTGCACCAATGACCTTAGACTGATACATTAGGCATTGGCGAAGTCGTTGGTTGGAAAGAAGCAAACAACTTGGTCGTTTGTGTGCCTTAACAGCTGCTCTTCCCCGTTGACCCGACAGAGCATTTGGTTCTGATTCGTTAAAAAGTAGTGAATTCGCGGCACAGTTTTTCGCATGACTACAATCACAATCTAGAAGACTCGTACTTGTCTCAGTGATTGAAAGCCTTTATCCGAAAGACGCATTCTGTACATCGACTCAACAGTTATCTTTAGGTCAAACTAACAGTAAGTGTGCTGTGAACCTCGAACATAGTGACGAATAAGTCAAATGATGTGGAAGGAATTGTTTGATGGTAAAAATATGCAATAGTTCCACAGTGTGAACTCAGGTCGGCCAAACACAGCTATTCACAGGACAAGATAATTATCATCATTTTTTCACCATTTCGAGAGCATGAAACTATTAGCAGTAATTTTTGTCTGAAGAATGCTTCGGAAAGGAAAGTCTTTAAAATTGGAAGAAAGCGGTGGCATAACTGAAGCGGTCATTGCAATTCTTCCGTAGCACGATTAATTCACACATGAGTAGCAGTGAAAGAGGCCTCCTTATTTCGGGTTAAGAATCACATTAGCGGCTGAAAGTAGCTGAAAAAATGATGAGTTGACGGTGGTAATGTTCTTGGATCTGGGATAGCAGATGAGTGAGTCAACAAACATTATGAGATAAAAAAGCAAGGCAAAGTGAGGTAGATGACGCAAAAAAAATAAACGGCGACAATCAATTCGGGGAGACCATTATATCTTTACTTCTGTGGAGCAAATGGGATAGGTAAACAAGTCAAGCTGTCTATCGCAATGGTTCCAAATGTAGTACATAACAAATTCA